TAGCTTTTGTTTAAATAAAAGAACCCACAAAAAGGTAGCTGCTTTTTTCAAGTTTCAGGCAACAAAAGAGTAAGAATAAGTAAATGGTTGTCACAGGAATTCTAAGGAATACAGGATATGAGTTGAACGTTCTTCCGTCTGTATATTATAAAAGTTTTTTTTATGTTATCTCATTAAATGAATAACTTGGCTGCTACAGGAATGGCCATATATTTGGATTATACTGATTTAATGTTTTTCTTCTGGGTTTTGAGTTATGAATCATGAGGTTAACTTGAAATTTTGTTGATGCGGTAAGTCAATGTGGTCGTCTAAATGTTCTGATATTTATAGTAATCTGTCTAAGGAATCTAGTCTGGTTTCGAAGGCTTCTCCAAGACTGTTTCTTTCTGTATATTTTCTGTGGAAACTGGTACTCTGTTAATCATAGGAGTGATTGTGGGTATCTCCAAAGTTTAATCATAAATCATGTACCTTGGTAGAGTTTCTTTTGGATCCTCCGATGAACTCTAGTTGGTGTGCATTTACTTATTTACTTGTTTTTTTGTGCTATGCAGGAGTATTCTATTTGTACATGAAAACAATAGAAAGGGCTCACATGCCAAACAAACTTTGGGAACGAGTTAAATTGCCAAGAAATTACGAAAAGGCTCTTGAAATCATTGATAAACATTTGGTAATGAAATTAGCTTCTTTTTTTTTACTTACTGCTGTATACATTTTGTTCTTCAATGCAATAACTTCCCTCCTCCATCCTCTCTTTGTCAACTACCACAGATGTATTGGCCTAAGTTTCTTGTGCACAAGGCAAAACAACGTTTAACAAAAATGACTCAGATGCGAATAAGAATGAGGAAACTTGCTTTGAAAACAAGGTTCGACTTCCCTTCTAAGACACTTAATATACATACACTTATCAATTTATTGGCTTAAATTTTCTTTTTATGGCCTTGAGCATTACTATTGAGGAGTTTAAAGGTGCATGCTTCAAAGTTTTAGATTCTCGTTTGTTTAATTGATCTGCGTCTTCATTCCATTTCACCTTCTCTCACCCTTCTTCCAGAAGAATGAATATAAAACAATTAATTCCCTGGATTCTTCGTTAGTAAAGGTTGGGAGGACGCTTAGATGCAGTACAAGTAGACTTGCAGTTAGATGTTCATCTAACAATCCAGAAGTGAAAGGGGGTGCCCTGCTTTGATTAAAGAAGGTGGGGTTGTGGGGCTTCATCAAAGAGCATTTATTTATTACATCTTCGATAACTATACCAATGGCCTGCGATATTGGATAAGGACATACCCAGTGTATGCAGAATCATAACTATCACAGCTTATCCAGTTGCCCTTTAGTTCCTGGATATACAGCTAATCATCCGGGAAAGAATTTGCTCTGATACGTTTCTTTAAATTGCCTAGTTATTGGTATGGCCATCATTTAACTTGAGTTAAATAGTTCAAGTAACCTTCCTCTATGATCATATCAACGGTCATTGCTTTTGGCAAAGGCCTGGACATCCTTTTATTCCTTCCCATCCAGATTATGTACAACATAATTGCCATAGCTGTAATAGCACTATGTTCGTCCTATAAGTATTTGATATGACAATGAACTTTTTAACAGCTGGGTGGTTTCAAATTCGTTTAGTGGGCTTAATCTCCCATGTCAATTAGGTGTTGCTAGGAGAATATTTCTGTTTCTCCTAATTCAAACTAGTACTTACAAAAAAGCTTGCTTTAAACCAATGAATTAATGGTACCAGTTGTGTTTTTGAGATCATAAACACTCCTATCAACTTTCAATAAGGGGCTTGTTTACTTCCATTTGGTGGTACCACCTCCCCTTTAGGAAATAGATCTTTGCTTATGGATGTTTGGCTGTTCACATTTTTCTGCACTAGCTAGTATATGTTTTAATTTGTTGTGTGTCCAGGGAGAAGATAATGACCACACCAAGGAAAGAAACAAAAAGAGAATCTCGGCGACAGGAAAAGGCTGAAAAAGCTGCTCTTCTCGATAAAGTGAGTTTATGCTTGGAATTCGTTCCCTTTTGTTCATGGTAGCTTGTTGTCTTCTTCCTACTTGGTAGATCATCTGGCTATATCCTTTACAATTTATGCCATTTGTATTCTGCAGAATATTGAGAAGGAACTGCTTGAACGCCTTTCAAAAGGAATGTATGGCGACATATACAATTATCCTGAGCAGAAGTATCAAGAGATTCTTGCTAGAGAAGCAGAGCAAGTGGCTAGTGAAGAAGAAGACGAGGAGGTCTTTCTCAAAAGCTTTGTGATATTTTCTCAATATTCCTTGTTTTCCTAGTTTTGCCTTCCTCTCTTGGTTGCTACCCACCCTCCATTTTTTTTATTTCTTTTGGGAGTTTGGTGTGAGGGTGTTGTGATTCTAGCTAGTAACTTGGGATTACCCTCCTCTGGTGAAACTTTGGCTGATACAATGAGATTGGTCAATTTATTCATTCTTCTGTTAATGACTGAAATAAACAGGAATTTGAAGTAGAATATGTTGAAGGCTATGAAGATCTTGAAGAAGAAGATGATATTGAAGATTTTGATGGTTTTGGAATTAGAGACAATGGCTTGGATGCTGATACCGGTAAATTTCTTGATGGATATGCTCTCCTTTGCTCATCCTGTCTCCCCTTCCCACCGTTCTGTTAGTGCAATATATTAATGACACTTCATCCTTTAGTGAGGAGGCAGTGCGCATATTCAACTCATAACTAACAGCCCCCATAGGTTTACCTAGACACCAGGAAGAAAAAGAATATGCATTTGTATTCTTGTGATGTTTAGTAAGCGTTTAGACAATACTTGGTTCAAGTAGAAAACAAAGAGCATTTGAAGCTGAAAAAGAGTACTAGCTTGTATACTTTATGAAGTTTTCTGCTTTTGAAGTAGAAATCACAAATTTGTAGCGGTCGCATTCTTCTGGTGTATTGTGACTGATACATATATTATATCTTTGGCTGAAGCATGTATTCATGTCTATTATTGTGACAAAGTTGATTTAAAATTAATAATTGTGAACTAGTTGTGTATGATCAGAATCTTGTGTTTCTTATCTAAAGCTTGTCTGGTAATGTTAATCCTTGTCTATGCTTTATATATATACTCGTCTAATGTGGGAATCACTCCACTAGGAGACGATGACGATGATGACGACGATGACGAAGAGGCTGTTACAGTTCATCGGAAGAGTGGTGGAAAAGATTCTGCTTTAGCTAGAAGAAGAGCTGAGAAAGATGATCCAAGTGCCAAAGCAAAGAAAAAGGCGAAAGTACTCGTGGAGGTAAAAATTACTAACACATATTTGTTTCCTAACATATAATAAACTGTTGTGGTTGGGTTCTTCCCAAGATCCCGTGCATAGCGTGAACTTAGTGCACAAGACTTCCCTTAATTTTGTTTCCTATAGTGTACTGCTTTACTGCACACTTAATTCTTGTTTTTGTTTTGAAAAAAATCATTTTTTTGTTATTTATCTCCTAGGTTGAGCACGACGATACAAGTGCAAGACAGACAACAGTACAATGAGAGCTTGCTTTCTAAGTGGCACAGCAAAAAGATTTGGTTGGACACAAATGTTACGCGAAGAGATAGAACAAACTGGATCGTACTAAATTTTGATGTTGTAGTAACAATTTTTGTGGTAATTGTTCGTATTTTCGAGTAGAAAATAGAGAAAAAAACTCTTGGGCTGGGCCAAATCTGATTTGGTTAGAGTCCCATAATCAGCTTGGGTTGTGATCTTTAGGCCCATAACACAATGGCTGGAAGAAATGATTTTGTATTACTCAACTCATTACCTTATTTTCCCCTTCATCTTGCCATTGCTCTATGAAAAGTTCCATTTTATTTTGGACAAATTATAGAAATACACGCCTTTTGTTTCACTTATTTCCATTATCCCCTATTACTTTTAAAAATCTCCAAAATCCCTTATTTCTTTAATGTATCCGAGCGGCATATTAATGTATTCGAGCCACATATTATGTATCCGAGCTAGTTTTTAATGTATTCAAGCTACATATTAATGTATTAGAGACATTATTTAATGTATCCGAGCTTCAATTATTGTATCCGTTTTTTTTAATTTCTAAGGGATTAATGTAATTAGAAACTTATTAGGGATATATTGTAATTTCATATTAAAACTATGAGATTTATGTAATTTACCCTATTATTTTTAATAATTGACTTGATGTGATCGTATCGTTAACTTAATTTTTCATTACCTTGACAATTATTTTATTTTATTGAATTCATAACTACCATGACTCTATCCCTAGATGCAATTTATTGAAACATTGTAGTTATTATCAAGACAATACAATATGATACATTATAATATTGTACGAAACAACAATTCAAACACTTTCTAACATGTTGATGTTTGTTGCCCATTGTATTGTTAGATAAAACACAATGTTTGTTTTTATTATTATTTAAATTTAATTGCATCGTATAGTTAAATTGATCGTCAGTTAACATTGAAAAGTTTCGTTTTGTGTAACGATCAATTTGGTGTGATCGTATCGTCATCTTAATTTTTCTTTTCTTTTGAGCTGATGATCTTTCAAAAACAACTCTCTAATTCACAAAAGTAGTTGTAAGACCTTCATACATTATATCCTCCTCATACCCTGCTTTTGCAGAATTTCATAGAGTATATTGTTGTTATCGTGATCCAATTCGATTCTGAACTTTTCTTTTCTTATAGTTTTTATCATTAAAATTATTAATATGTAACATGATGTAACTACAGAGAGAACGTATATCCAAACATTGTATTAATTAAAACAATACGATACAATAAAACACACTAAGAATTGCAAAAACATTTTTTGTATAAGAGCAAAGAGGGGGGTTGGATTTAAACATAATAACACTTTTGGGGTACAAAAATGATTTTCACCTAAATTGGAGACCATGAAATGAAAACTATACAACTTTATATAGCCCCTTTTTCCCTTCTCATCTGCCAATAAGAAATCGTTGTTTGCCCTAATTAGGTGCAAACTTTTCTCTATCCGCCGTCACCTAATTTGTGAATCTATACTCAAATTCAGCTTGTTGTTTCTTCATAGGTATAAGAAAATCCTCTCAAATATCATTCTATTGAATGTTTTAGTTAAGTTTTGTTGAAAACTATCATGGGTTTCTTTGAATCTTGATGTACTGAGTTTTTTTTTTTTAAAGCAATTTCTTTCTCTTTTTCTTGTGGGTTTTGCTTATTATGATTGTTTGTTATGTGGGTATGTGTTAGAATTGTTAATTAGCTTTTGGGTTGTTGCAAGTTGGGTTTTTTGTTAAGATCTTGTGAACTGAAATGGACTAATTACCTATTTCTGTACTTGTTCTATATGGGTTTTGCTTAGAATAATTGTTTGTTATGTGGGTATGTGTTAGAATTGTTAATTAGCTTTTGGGTTGTTGCAAGTTGTTTTTTTAAGATCTTGTGAGCTGAAATGGACTAATTACTATTTCTGTACTTTGTTCTATCTGGGTTTTGCTTAGAATGATTCTTTGTCATGTGGGTATATATTAGAATTGTTAATTAGCTTTTGGGTTGTTGCAAGTTGGGATATTTGTTAAGATCGTGTGAACTGAAATGGACTAATCACCTATTTCTATACTTGGTAGGAGTCTTTTAGTCTATCTAGTGATTTGTATGTCATTAGGAAATGTAGAGAGGTTCTAGTGTTACAAAACCTCAAATTATTTGTGGTGGAATCAGTCTATATAGAGCAAAATGGATTGTCCCCGACTAGTTGGGGTTGAGGGGTAGGTGTTCTTGTATAGTGGATGTATAGCGGATGCACAAGAGAGGTCACGGGTTGGAGCTGTGGAAACAGCCTCTTGCATGCAGAAATGCAGTGTTCTTTTTGGGGTTTTAGTTTTTGCTATATCAGTGTGTGGTTAAAATCTTGATTCGATGGAAGTTAGAAAGCTAGGGTGTTTCTGGAAGATTCTGTTTATAGACTGAGTCCTTAGTGAAGAACCTGTGGTGTGTCAAATATTGGGAGTAACTTTAGGTGCTAGAAGCTCGATGCTTCCAAACTTTTTGCTTTCTCGTCTTTGCAGTGGTTTAATTACTTTTTGGTGTGCACATTGAAATTGAAATAGTGAGTTTTTATGCTGGGATTGTCTAATGGGGAAGTGCCAAATCTTACCTTATTTTCCTTTTTGTTGATTGTAGCTATGAAGGAGTTGCATAGTGAGCCTGTTTGTTATTTGATGATTGTGAATTTAAATGTTGTTACTTAACTAGTTATTTGTGTGTACATTTTACACATACTTGCAAAAAATTGCATTGGCTTGATTGTTTCTCTTTAAAGTCGTGGAAGACAGCCATGAATCCACATGCACACTGATTTTCTTTAAATACTATTTTATGCTATAGTTGTTTTTTCACTTTTTTTGTAACTTTATTTTGCTCTGAGCACACCTTTTATGAGGTAATGATGTCCATTTTAATTTTTTTTATGGGTGTTGGAGAAGTATATGATGATCATTACAACTTGGAATGCTGATATGACAGCAACTTGTTTTGTATTCGTACTGTCTGATCACTTCTGCAGCTACCGCCAAGATTGTTTATTGTCAATTATTCTTAATGTTGCTTTGAAGTGATTTGACTACATTTTTTATCGTCTTTGCACTTATACATATGTTTTAGTTTCAAACTGAACCAGAAACTGTCAGTGGACTCCTTGAGTTTCCTGTTATTTGTTGTTCAAAATCTTCTTTTTTTCTTATTACTCAAGAGAACGAGATGATGAATATTATACTGTCATGACTGTTGTATGATACTATTCATCATGTATTCGTACTGGCTGATCGTTCTTCTTGAATTATATTTTCGTCTTGGAGTTTTTATTAATATCTGGTTTTGATTTTTATTTTAGGATTTAAAATGTATTCCTTGAACTATTACTTTTTGAGTATTGCTTAACTATTGAAATCTTTTCAGTCATATTTACGTATCACATTCTGAACCAACCATCAATTTGGAGAATGAGATGATGAGTGTTATACAAGTTTGATAGCTGATATGATGGCGTATTATCATGTATTAGCTCTAGCTGATCATTCTCTTTTGGGCGACTTATATTGGTTCTTCCTGTGTGTTGAGTAGTCTTGTTAATGCATTTGATTGACATGCTTTAACGACCGGTCGATCTCTACCTTATACAAGTTAAAATATTAAATGAATTGTCCTTCACACTTTTACCTTTTGACATTTTATCCTCCTAATGTGTAGTTCTTAAGCCAATTTTTCGCTCGTTAACACACTTCTTTAACATGAAATAGGTCAATATGGTTGTTGATTGAGAATGATATGATGATCTTCATACTAGTGATTGCTGCTGATATGATGGCATTTTATCATGTATTAGCTCTAGCTGATCATTCTCTTTTGTGTGACTTAAATTGGTTCCTCCTGTGTGTTGAGAGTAGTCTTGTTATTGCATTTTATTGATATGCTGCAATGACTGGTCAATCTCTACCTTACACAAGATATACACAATTTAAAATATTAAATGATTGTCTTCATACTTTTACCTTGACATTTTATCCTCCTAATATGGAGTAGTTCTAAAGGCAAATTTTTGCTTGTTGTCGCTCTTCTTTAACATGAAGTAGCTCAATATGGTTGTGGATTGAGAATGATATGATGAACTTCATACTAGTGATTGCTGATATGATGGCATTTTATCATGTATTAGCTCTAGCTGATCATTCTCTTTCTGTCCACTCTAATTTTGTTTCCTTGAATTGGTTTCCTTTTTTTTACCTAACATTATAGTATCTTAGCTCTTGACTTGAGTAATTAATTTCCTGGTTTTCTTCACATCTGATGGGAAATGTTGGGCTTTTTCCCTCCATTGTTTTGTTGTTTGCCTTGAAAGAGAATTTTCTATGGTGCAATCTCATGTTTATTTGAGTAATTTAACTAGACTGTAGCAAGGATGTGAGTAGTTGGGGATATTTACTGTATCTTCTCTTATTTGAAATATCTGAGTAGACATGCTTTGGGTCTTCTCAAGGAGTGTAGTTGCCTTTTGTTATCATCCTTCTTTTGCATCCTCAGTGTTGTTTATGTATTGGTTTATCTAATGAATTTTATTTTTGTACAAGAGCTTCCTCACTCATTTCCGTACTGTGGACAGATTAAATTGATTCTGTTGGAATGAGGAGGAGAAGTTACAGCCCATCACCACAGAGAGGTTATGGCAGAAGAGGAAGGAGTCCGAGTCCCAGAGGTCGATATGGTGGTCATAGTAGAGATGGTCCGACTAGTCTTTTAGTTCGAAATCTTCGCCATGATTGTCGGTATGCACTAATGAGTGTCCTCAAATTTATGATATGTTTGAAGTATTCCATGTCTTCCTTTTGCCAGTTCATTCCTGAATTGCTATATCAGTTTTTAGTGATTTTGAGCTTGTAACTGATCATGTAGATATATTACTTTTATAGAAAATTCTCAGATGATTCTTATCTTGAGGCTATGTCCATAGTGAAGCGGGCCAAGATGACAAATTCTTGGTATAAGCAGAAACAGTTGTTGAAAAATCATGCTGTTAGGATTCAAGAAATATAATTGAGTTACTTTCCTTCATTGTATTACATTACCAGTAGACTTGTAGTACTTTTATAAATTGGTACCCCACAGTTTACTGCTTGCATGCAGGCCAGAAGACCTCAGAAGGCCGTTCGGGCAATTTGGCCCTGTGAAGGATATTTACTTGCCAAAGGACTACTACACTGGGTGAGCTTGTTTTGCATGTGATTATTCATCTACTCAATTCTTCTGGTCTCAGAAGGAAGAAGAAAGAAAAAAAGAGCGGAGTCTCTCTCTCTCTGACCAGATATTCTTTATTTACAGTCAAGCTCCGCTCTGCTGAAAAATAAATATTGAAGATTTTATTTTTCTAGCACACATTGTTTGGTACCAATATCCCCGTTAATGGATTTGGCTAAATTTTGTTTGTCGGTGATACCATAAAGGCATAAAGTTTTTTCCTTCTTAAAATTTGTTGGTTAATTTTTTTTGTTGTTAGAAACCGGCCTGTGCTTTTATTAAATTGTGAAATTTAGCAGCGAAACTAAGAGTCTTGAAGACTTCAATCAAGTAATAAGCATTCTGTTGACACATTGAAGTAGTAAGAGTTCTTGACATCAATCAGGTAGTAAGAGTTGAAGGTGATGTTAATGGTAGTGAAGATTTGAAGGAATTTGGATTTGAATACAATGTGAAGATTTCAAGATTTCAAGTCTTGAAGAATTTCAAGTCATCTTTAAACTGATACATTCAAGGTCAGCAGCCATGTGCTTGCTTATGTGCTTATGAAGACGTTATTTTTTGGTGGGATTATTTGAATTTGTGCTGTTTTTAACTTTGTTACTGTTTAGGCTAGTTCTTTGCTTTCCTCAATATATCTCTTAGAATCTAGTTCCCCAATATTTGTTCTTGATCAGTCCTTATGGGGATTTGGTGGAATTGCTAGTGCTCGACAAATTTGATTCTTTAACCCTTATTGGCCTTATATTCACAGATTGGGTCTTACCTTTTAAACTCCGATCAGATGACTGTAGCTAGGGTGTCTTATATTCTGATCGCCTGCCAAACACCATATTGTTTGAGAAATATCTGTTCTAAATCTGTTCTTGTGTTCCCACCTCTTTTTCACAGTGAACCACGAGGCTTTGGATTTGTCCAGTTTGTGGATCCTGCTGATGCTGCAGATGCCAAGTATCAGATGGATGGACAAGGTTTTCAAGGTCGGCAACTGACTGTGGTTTTTGCCGAGGAAAACAGGAAAAAACCTACTGAAATGAGATCTAGGGAACGCAGTGGAAGGTAATACTTTGTATTTCATTTGCTAATATCATATTAGTCCATTTAAATTCTGTCTTGAGTAGTCCCTTATTGTCTCGTGTAGTGGTGGAAGTTTCCTGCGTCTTTCATGACAGTATTCTACTTTGGCTTTGATGTTTGAAAGTAAAACATTAAGTAGTCTACATTGTTATAAAATTATCTGTCCCTTTTGACTTTGTAAATGATTGGCTGATTATTTTGGATTTGGATATTCATTTAGTTTGATTTTCTTGCCAGTCATAGGAGTAGCCGCAGCCATGATCGGAGACGTACTCCACCTTCACGGTATGCAAGAGCAGGATCACACAGCCGTGATTACTCTCCCAAGAGAAGGCAGTACTCGAGGTATGCAATGTTACTTATATTTGTTGTTTGTTTAATTAAAGGGGCTCTAGATTGTAATAATGATGCGCTTCCAACAACCAGCCAGGCATATCAGACACTATCTTTGGTATTAAGTTCATTTTTTTTGTTTTATTGCATGCATAGTCTGATTCATTTAGCTGACAAGGCATGCTGCCTGTTTTATGATACTATCCATTGTTTGCTTGTTAAAAATCATATTTTGAACTTGTTTACTGCCTGCAAGTTGGTCCTAGGAAGTTAGCCTGCAAGTTGGTCCTAGGAAGTTAATCAGACATTTTAGAAATTCGCTTGCCCATGTACTACCTTTTTAGCTATTGTTTTAGCTCTTTTTTCACATCTTTTGAGACAACAATAAGTAATACAAGCTATTTGTCTGTGTATCTCTATCCCATCTAATTTCCACTTGATGATTTACTTCTACTTTGCAGGTCTGTCTCACCTGAAGAGAAAAGATACAGTCGTGAGAGGTCATATTCACGATCCCCTCCTCGAGACCTTTCTCCTCCACCACATAATGGGTCAAGGAGTCGCAGTCAAACTCCAGTCAGAGAGCGCCCACCATATAATGGCAGTCCAAGGAGCCGTAGCAGAAGTCCAGTTAGGAGGGAGCGTTCTCCGGTTAGGGGTCACAGCAGGAGCCCTAGTAGGAGCCCTGGTTGTGCTCCCTACTCGCCATGATCCAAACTGCTATGTGTCCATGATACTGAGCTCTATATCTTAAGTAGATTAATGCTGTAATATGGATCTATCTATTTGTACGACTCTCTGGTGTTGTTTCTAAACTCGAGTAGAACTTAAGTTGGCATTGGCAACAGATTTTAGACTCGTGCATTTTACTACATCAATTTGGATTGTTCGTGCCATTGGATGGTCTTTGAAATATGTTGTGTGCGCTCATTACTGTTGAGTTTATGCATTTAGTGCTGTTTGGACATGTGTGTTTGTGGTCAAACATGTGCATTCAACATCTATTGTATTTAACCTAGATTTTTGAAGGTTTGGAGTTGCTACTTAAAACTCATTATTATTGAGATATAACACGTTCTCAAACGAAATTTACCCATGAAACTTGCGACTTAGAAGATTTTTGAATCTTGTGCGCTCTTTGTTGAAGTAGTTAGTAAATTGTATATATTAAATGAAGTTTTTGTCACTATGTTTGAATCTTGTGAAATGATATATGTTGATTTTCATAATTTTGACACTCCAATTAATCTTAATTTTGTTTGGACAATTGGAAATGTCCTGGTGATTGATACTGACCATTGATGAATCTCAAGTTTTTTGGTGATTAGAAGTCTACAAAAATGAATTCCTGATTATAGGTGTTCTTTGTATGTATTTTTACATGCTGATTTTTTGAATTTGGTTGATACACTCCAATTAACATGTAATTTGATTGGTCCATCAAAAATGATTTGGGGTTACGAAATAAGATTTCAGGATTATCTAGACTTGTAAGATGTATTATAAGACCGGTTCTTCTTTACCCCAAATATTATGAGCCATTTGTGACAATCTAGAAAATGATATACATTACCTCTGCAGGGCCGGCGTTACACTTTTGGAGTTTCAAGATCACAAAACACTCATTAAAGATTATCTAAGCTCTTCATGTGTATTAGATTGATGAATTTACAGAGTATGACTGATTAACTCTGTTTGACCTTAATTTTTTGCGAGTTTATTTGAAATGATCTAATGAATGATACTAAAAGTGTTTCTTAAGAACCATCGTTTACCTTTTTTTTCTCTTTAGAATCTTTAAATCACAAGACAAGAATTTAAGATTATCTTAATTTGTCGTGTGAAGCACATGGTTTCTGATAGAAAGAAGAAAGGAAATAGGTCTAGAATTTGAAAAAAAAAAAAACATATATCAACAAAATGTGAATGATGTTGGCCATTATTGAGAAATTGTCACTTTCCAACTTGTATTATTTGTTCACCTTGGCTAACTTTTTGCAAACATTTTTACCAAGTTAATGAATTTCCTCTCATTATTAATCCAATCTTATAAAATAAAAAAAAGTCATAAAATTACTTGGCCGTTTATTAAAATTTTAAAATTAAGAAACAAAAATGAAGGTAGTAGTAATATAGACTAGGCTAATTAGTGATTTTTTATAATTCTAGTTTCATCACTCTAACGGAGGATTAAATAGGGACACATGACACAATCTTATTTGTCGATCCAGTATTCAATAAATGTCGGGTCGGTGGATAAGATTATGACATGTGTATGTCCGTTAATATATGCTATAATTTTTAAACGATAGGGGCACCAGTATTCCAAAAGTATGACGGAGAATATCTGCATATCATTTACGATAGTTCGGGTAGGTTTGTTCTTTTTCCCTTTTTGAATTTATATTTGAATTCTAGAGACCATGGCTCCATAGGTCCCCACACATGCTTAGTTGTCTTCAACTAAAGAAAAGAAATAAATAAAAATTTTATTCATAAAATATTCAATCATTCTTCCACATAGACTTTTCACATTTTTTTTTTAACCTCAACCTGAAATTATTGATTCATTTCTTTTGAGAGGTAAATACACCAAAAGTCATTATACTCTGCCAGTTTCAAAATAGTTATCATGTTTTATTTTTTAAAATATGAATTTAAAATTATAAATTGAAATATCAATTATCAAAAAATTATAAAAAAGATATTATTTATAAATTATGAATTTTTAATTTTATACTATTTAAATCTCAAAAAAATATTATAATAAATATTTTGAAATAAAGGGAGTAGTACTTATATTTTTTACTTACTTATTAAAAATATAAAATAAGAGAGGTTTAATTTATACTATTTAAATCTCAAAAAAAATATTATAATAAATATTTTGAAATGAAGGGAGTAGTACTTTTTACTATTTTTTACTTATTAAAAAATAATAAAATAAGAGAGGAATTTAAGGGAATTTAAGCTAGATACGCGGCTAAAATCTTGATGTGTCATCGAAATCTGTCACATTTTTCAAGAATCTTCAGATCTAGAGAAGAAAAAAAAAGTGAAAAAAGTTTTTCTTTTTTGTACTTTTTTCATATTGCTAGTAGAAAAACAAGAATTGTATAGTGTGTATAGATAGATGTGTAAAGTTCTAGAATTGAGGTTTGATATAGCACAAGTGCTACATTTAAGGCTTCTTTATTACTTTCTTGTCTTCTTCTTTCCTATGTGTACCCAAAAAAAGTAATCTTTTTAATTGTGTATATGTACAAAAACTTGAATAAAATAATTATTTGGAACTATACTGTATATGGGTGTTTATGTTTTTTAATTATAAGTATAGTTTAAGGTTAAAGTTTTAATCTTTATCAATAATTATGTAGTAATTGAACAGTCATTTTTGGGAGTCTCTTGAAGTTACTGCTACAGTAGACTAGTGTCTTGTGCTGTTTCAGTTTTCCTCTTTGTGACCACTCATTTCTCTGTTATTTTGTACTCAACAAAGTGTAGTGTGAAGTGGGGTAAGAGGGTTTTCTTCAAATTTTTGGTTTTTGTGTTGTCAGCTTTGTCCACTTAACTATTTGGTGTTTACATTTGAGTTTTACCAACTCTTAATAGGATCTTGGTTAATAGATTTTCTTGGTTTTGCTATAGTGGAGCAGAAGTTGAATTCAGGTACTTTGTTTCTTTTCCTTTTGTTCCTTCATTTTCTGCTTCTGGTTGAAATGTTTTGTACTTCTAAATCAGTTTTGAGATGTGGGGTTTTTGAGTGTTGAGGCTAAACTTGTAAAGGGTTTCTTAATCTTTAGATATTTCTTGGGATTTTGGTGTTGTCTATGCTATTTAAGGTGTAAGGTAGTGTTAGTTTTTGATAAAGTTTGGTTCTTTGAAGTTTCTTAAGCATTTCTTGCTTTGGAGATGTGGATGAGAGTGACTGTTTTGCTCTTATGAACTGATAAAACACATGTCATAATCAATGTTACCTCTGTAGTGACAATGTTTTTTGTTTTTAAGCTGCCATGAAGTGGAGTGATAACTATATGTCTTAATTTGTGTACTACTATGAGACAGAAATGTTAAATTCTTGTGAATCTGTGACCTATTGTTTTGGTAGACAAGCATGCTAAACTGCGTAAAGTTTGAATCTTTTGTTAGGTTCTTGTTAAATGGAACCAGACTGTATTAGGTGCTGTTCACTGATGTAATTCTGGGTTCAGCTAGACATCTTTTAGTGGATTACTATGCTAAGACTTCTTTTGTTTATGGGTGTGTGGTTTGCGTTTTTAATATCACACGGGGTGGGATGGGATGGGAATATGCTGTATATTCTTCTATATAGTTCATGTTGGTAGTACAAGATCCTATACTTGAGCAGCGTCAACAAGTTAGACAGCAAACAACCATTTCCACTTTCTGATACTGGTTTTGTTTTGAATTACTTTGCTATAAACACGATCCTCAGTAGATATCATGTGGTGACTCAGCCATTTCCCTTGAGGTCATGCACGTGTATACTTTGTTTCATATTCATTTGGTGGGTTCTTCATCCTTAGTTAATATGGTTAGGAGAAACCCAATGACATAGAAGGACACTGTTAATTTAAGTTCGAGCATCTTTACTGAACAGTCTCATTTTCTATTTGTCTACTTTACTCGGTTTTTAGATCTCTGGGGTCAGTATTACTGGAAGAATGAACTTTTTGCCTGTTAAGTTTTGCAGTTCTGCTTATCATTCAATGTTATAGTCATACAACTGAGCTCATTTTCTCTCTATTCAATCAAACTAGCTTTAATTTGTTGTAGTCTTTTTCCTGTAGCACCGTCTTGACAAATACCGTTTGAAGCAACAGTTGCCGGCTGATTGATATTAGAGTTGAAGTTTTGGATGCTTCTGATGACGCTTAAACCGTGGCTTGCCATATCTATTCTATTTTTTTTCTTTATCTCAAATGTAATAGGTAATGCAGTAAGTTTCTCCCTGTCAGCTCTATAATGTTATTGCTGTGTATTGATTCAGCACTCTAGTTAATATCATGCAAGGGTCCTTATTTGGTTATATGATATGCCTTATAATGGTAAATATCAGTTCGTATCAATTGATAGATAGGGTATGTTTGGAAACAGACCATCAAATTTGAATTATTAAAAACTATGCATCGTGTTGTCTGTATCATTTATTGAATGCTTAATGGAATTCTTCTTGTTTATTTGTTTATTTTGTGGTGTCATGCAACTTAGGTATAAATATCAATTATTTCCTCCTTTATTGGCTTTCTACGTTTAGTTTATCAAACATTTCTTTTGGGCGATAATGCATATGCTAATCATGCAAGATAAGTTGTAACATGTACTAGTATACAGTACTAAATGCTTGTTGAACAAAAAAATGTTCTAATTTATAAGATAGATCTATAAGCTTTGAGTAAAGTATGTTAACTTTTCAAAGATGAAGTTATTATAAGAAATTTCATAGATGAAATAGTTAACTGAATATAGTAAAATTGCTTGGAGTAGCTTGATTGTGCTACATGATTAGAAGAGGGCAAAAGAGGTAAGGAGTTCACCAGATAGTGGCTGTGTCATGGAGTACAAAAAACCATTATGGGAGACTGCATGGTGATTTGACAGTGAAACGCCAGGTAGCGTTGTGACATTTAATAGTTCTGCCAATCAATTAAGGTTTATCGATCAAGCCTCCCATTGATGGTCTAAAATTCTTCTTTGCACTCTTTGAAGGATTAGGTATTGAGTATTTGACCCAAAAAGTGCTTCTTGCTCCGCCATCAACTGGTCCCTGAAGCTTCTTCTGGTCCCTCTGCCTCCAAAACTCAAGCTCCCTCTCCCACTTTAGAGAAATTTTTGTAATTACACATTTGGTGATTACCAGAAAAAGTTAGTTACCTAAAAAATATGACTAAGGTTTAACTAAAGGATCATCCTTCACAAGTCATTGATAGAACAATGAGTTAGGAAAGGCTACAGGAAGAAGCATTGTAGCTGTCTTACAAAATCTTGGTGTTTCGTAGCGACTTGATGAAGAAACTAGTGGCATCATATTATCGTTGTAAGAATGCAATTGGAAAAAAAGACAAACCAATAATGGCAAGTCAGAAGAAATCTAGTGTTATCTTCTTATTTTGTACCTAGAAAGTTGTTTGGTATGCTTTCTCGTGAATCGGTTTTAGCATTGGTATTTTGATAGTTGTTCCACTGAGGGTCCATCAGAAACAACCTATCTACCTTCACAAGGTAGGGGTAAGGCTGCATACACACCACCCTCCCCATACCCCACTTGTGGGATTACACTTGGTATATATGTTGTTGTTGTTTTGATAGTTGGGCCAGTATTGTGTTGTGATTTCTGCTGTTTATGTTATATACTTACATTTTTATTTATAATGGGATCCAACCGTCTGAGCGGCTTACATAATGGCCTTGCATGATGGTGCTTTGATTCATTTGTAGTGCTAACGTGCATGTTCTTCAAAATTGTAGGTGCATTTGTTGGAATAAACATCGGCACTGATGTAACAAATTTACCCCCAGCTTCAGATGTGGTTGCACTCCTTAAAGCTCGTCAGATAACTCATGTGCGCCTATTTAATGCTGATGCTCATATGTTGAAAGCTTTAGCCAACACTAGTATCGAAGTTATTATAGGCGTTACAAATGAAGAAGTCCTAGGGATTGGAGAGTCTCCATCAACTGCAGCTGCTTGGGTAAATAGAAATGTAGCAGCTTACATGCCCGGAACAAATATTACGGCTATTGCTGTGGGAAGTGAAGTTCTCACCGCAATCCCAAATGCTGCACCAGTTTTGGTTCCTGCTATGAATTACTTACATAAAGCATTAGTAGCTTCACGACTAAATAACCAAGTTAAAGTTTCAACCCCACAATCAATGGACGTGATTGCTAAGGCATTTCCTCCTTCCACTGCCACTTTCAATTCTTCATGGAACTCAACGATCTTCCAGATCCTTCAGTTTCTAAGAAATACAAACTCGTATTACATGTTGAATGCTTATCCATATTATGAGTATGTTCACTCTGATGGAATCTTTCCAATTGAATATGCTCTTTTCCAACCACTCTCTGCGGTGAAGCAAATTGTTGATCCGAACACCTTGTTTCATTACGTAAGCATGTTTGATGCTTTAGTTGATGCTACATACAACTCTATAGAAGCACTCAACTTTTCAGATATCCCTGTTGTTGTGACGGAGACTGGTTGGCCATGGGCTGGCGGTTCAAATGAGCCAGATGCTACTAAGGAAAATGCGGAAACTTTTAATAATAACCTGATTCGGCGTGTTTCAAATGATTCCGGTCCACCCAGTCAACCCAAAATTCCCATTAACACCTTTATTTACGAGATGTTCAATGAAGACAAAAGACCCGGGCCAATCTCAGAAAGAAGTTGGGGGGTCTTTTCTACGAACGGGAGCGATGTTTATACCCTTGGTCTGGGTTCGTCAGACAGCATTTCTGACAATTCTAGTACAGCTTTTTGTGTAGCGAAACCGGGTGCAGATGAGAACAAATTGCAAGATGGAATTAACTGGGCTTGTGGCCAGGGACGTGCTAATTGCAGTGCAATTCAATCTGGGCAGCCTTGTTATTTCCCAGATACTATACAAAGTCATGCTTCGTATGCTTACAATGACTATTATCAAAGAATGCATAGTCTTGGTGGAACATGTGATTTTGATGGTACAGCAACAATGACAACACAAGATCCAAGTAAGTTTTAGTATGTAATTTTCTTTTTCATCTTTACATGGAGTTCCAGGAGATGACTTGATTGGTGTCTGGATCATTTTGGCTGATAATAGTGATTCGGTAAATTAACAGTCAACGACATGTTGATATCCCTCTTTTATTTTTCACTCCCATATCAGTAAGAATCTATTTTGCCTATCTGGCTGAAAGCAAATATGCTCTTAGAGATCTTATTTTCCCTTGCTGAAACAAATAAATATCAACTCCCGTCATGTTTGACATGATGTAATATCACATATTCTAGTTCATATTACTTGATGAAGCTGGAGTACAAGTGTGTTTCTATTGCATAAGTAGAGTTTTATTGCTCCTTACTGACGTCTGGGGTTAAGTTGATAGAAATGTTTTAGTTGTTCAATATGGCAATATCTTTATTTTTTACGGCTATATTAGATGAATGACATTAATTTCTTCAAATGTTTGTGTATGATATATGGGACTGAAGCATCGCTTATTTACAAGAAAGCCTTGTTGTGTCTACTTAATTTCATACAGTTTAAGCAATGATTCTCGGAGTTGTGACGCTTTAATTAACATGCAAAGTATGCGTTTCTACATTATTGCGAAATGCTTCTAGCTGTATGTTTCTTAGTAACATTTCAACATGCTGAACCTTGCATTTTAGTCTATACGAAGCTCTTTTGCTCTTCCGTTCTCTTTTGCTTTTCAAAATCGTCAATAACAATCTAGGAAGTATTCATTAAAATTGCTACCTTTTTCATCCTCTGTGTATGTTATCTGAACCATTTTTCGTTTTCTTTCTCGAAACCTGATTCATTTAATGGTTTTCCTGGTGCAGGTTCCAGATCATGTAAATTTACCGGAAGGTGAGATATCTAAACCAAGTACAATACATAAATTATCTTTACGAGTACAGTCAAGCCTCTCTATAATAATTATCCTCTATAACAACCACATTTTTGTTGGGATTGATTCTTCATGTTATATTATATGTTCTCTATTACAACATTTCGTTGTTGACGCTGTCATAGAGAAGCTTGACTATACTAACATGTTGCATTTGCACAAATATTGCCTCTATTTGGACTGAATTTACTTCTTTTTCATCCGACAGTTCGAATTCAGGTGGTGGGGTGTTCCCTCCGGCAGCATTTGGACCTATCGGTGCGACTTCTCAGTGTTCAACGATTCGATTGCCGGTTATTGCTTACACAATGGTTGTTTTTTTGGCTTTGTTGATTCTTGATGTGAATGCACATTTTGTTTTCTAGCATATTTAGGAAGATTGAGATCTTTGCATTTTTGGATTCCCTTTGTGTATTTTGCAGGAAAATTGAACCAACTCTTTTAGTTTGTTAGTTTAGATGATTGATATTTGTCTTTTAACACTCAACTAGATGATGATTTAAATCCATTTTTTGCATTATTTTACTTGTTGGTGAAAAGCTTCCTTACCATGACCCCCACCCCCACCCCATCCGTGATCGTTATAACAGTGGTGTTCAGGTCAGCTTGACACATGTTTACTCCCATTAGTTCAAGTACACGCAGAATTTTGTCCATCAATGTTTAAACATATAAGAAGAAACCACTTTCTATAAAAGCTGAGACATACGAGGAAAATTTACTTTCCATCAAAGCTTATACAAATGCGAAAAAATCACTTTTTTCTATTAAAGCTCAAGACATACGAGAAAAAATTACTTTCCATCAAAGTTTATACAAATACGAAGAAATTACTTTTTCTATTAAAGTTTAAGACATACGAGAACAAGTTACTTTCTATCAAAGCTTATATTAACGAGAAGAAATCACTTTTTTTTATTAATGCCTAGACATATGAGAAAAAAATTACACTTTTTATTAAAGCTTAAACAAACACGAAGAAATTACTTAATCAAGATAGAATCTATTTGTAAAAGTTGTGGATTTTTTTTAAAAAAATGTTCTTTAATCTTTATTTTTGAAGATGAAGATATGTTTGGATAACAAAATTTGCAAAGTCCTTTTAGATGGATAAAATTCTTTGAATGTTGAGATTCTTAAAGGATAGAATTTGATAATTGATTCCACCATATTCAAAGTTGATATTTTTTTGTTGCAAAAATCATTATCTTGAGTAAAGAAAGCTAAAAAAAGTTTAGAAGAAAAATATAAGTGTTCGACTCATTTTCTGACATCGAATTCATCTGAATTCATTCTGTACCAAACACAAATTCATTGTTAAAATTTGTTACAACGAGCTCAATGCAAGAAATCTATACAATTGAATCAAATATAATTTAAATTGTGAATTCGCCTCTGACTCCGACCAAATGATTCTAAAGTTAATTAATTTGTTTTTTTTTTTTTAAAAAGTTGGAATGAAACTCCAAACCGACGTCGTATTTGAACAAAGCAGAATCAGCAAAAGGCTTCCACTTGGATAAAGCTGAAAGATTATCTTCTAGGCAGGATAAAGTAAAAATGTACAGCGGCGCTCCGTCCGGCGGAATAGCAATCGGCGGCGGCGGCGGAGGGAGAGGAAGAGGAGGAGGAAGAACATGGCCGTCGACGACGTCGGTATCAACATCAGGGAAGAGAATACAGAAGGAAATGACAGAATTAAGCATGGAAGCACCACCAGATTGTGCAGCTGGACCTAAAGGAGATAATATTTACCATTGGGTTGCTACTCTCTTTGGACCACCTGGTAATTTCTCTTTGATTAGCTATAAAGATTTAATCTTTCTGTTTTTTGCGAGTTTCATATCTCAACTATCCGTTGTTCCATTTTCCTACTTGAGTGAGTTAAACTATCACTATTTATGTGTTAAAACACTTTTCAACTATAAGCTATTTCCTTTTCCTATTACAATTATCACACACATTCATGTAGAAAAAGAGAACATATGATAGTTGATGTGTGTTCTAATACATAGAGAGTGATAGTTCAGGTAGGAAAAAGGAATAGATGATAGTTGGGCTGTGAAATTTACGAAAAAGTGATAACTCAGGTGTGTTTTTGATCATTATCTCTTTTTTTCCGTTCTTCTAAGAAAAAATGATCTTTTTTTTCTTCATTTTCTATGAGGATGAGTACTAGTTGTTGAGTTTGAAGTATAAATGTACATTCTTTATAGGCGTTTGGACATAAAAATTGTGATATTTGAAAAAAGTGTACTCACTCTGTCTCGATTGATGTGATTGCGTTCGACTAGACTAGTGCTCTAAAACAAATAATAGATATTTGTGTGACTATAACCAATTTTACCTTTCGAATATGTATTGAGTATTAGTGTTGTCAAAGGAGCGCTTAAGCCCTGAAGCGAGACTCAAAACATATTGAGCGCTTCGCTTTGCTTAATGTGTGCTTCAGTGTTGCATCAAGACTTTAAGACGTACTTTTCCTTGCCAATGAGTGTCCCCCGAATTGACGACCCTACACATTGAATATTTCTCTTTATTGTTATTGTTTATTCAACTTTTTTGTCCATATATTTGTTATTCATGCTTATAATTATTAGTTTTGGAATAACATATATATTTGTATTTATTCTCCATTAGCTCCTGTATTATTAAAGCGTGCGCTTTATTTGCTTTTTGCGCTTTAACACCCCAACAAATCTTAGAGCTTTTTTGTGCATTTTTCTTACGTATTCGAAATTGTTTGAACGAGAGGAGAAAGAGTAAAATAGATAGTTTTTACAGTTAAATTATTACTCCCTCTATCCCAATTTATGTGACACATTTTGTTTGTTCGAGAGTCAAACAATTTAAGTTTGACCGAGAATTTGCTCATGGAATCTTCAATAATGAAATTTATATATCCGTAAACTACGTAAAAAGTACTATAAGTCACAATAATTGATAATTCAAAATATTTAAAAGATATATGAGAAATTTATGATCAAAGATAGACTTGTTTGAATCTCAAAATCTGAAATGTGTCACATAAATTGGGACGGAGGGAGTATTAAATATAAAAAAGTGTCAATTCATTTTTAGACCGACTAAAAAAGAAAGAGTCACATAAATTGAGACGGGGGAGTAGTATTTGAAGTTGAGTAGGGAAAAGATATTTGTAAATTGAAGTTGCATCTGAATATGAATTTAAGTGTTAGCTTGAGGAGCCATTTGAAGAATCTGTTCTGCTGAATCAGTCAATCCTTTATCAAATGAACAAAGAGAATAATAGGATGTTAATTCATTATGCATGAAGTAATAGTTAGGATAAGGATTTCAGTTATAAAACAACATATACAGTGTGTAATCCCACATGTGGGGTCTGGAAAGGGTAGAGTGTACACAAACCTTACACTTGCAATGCAAGTTAACTGGCTACAACAATTTATTTCTTTATTTATCATGTTACCATATTGATCTGCCAAGAAGAGTTGCGTCCTGCAATATGTTAAACTAATTTGAGGGTGTAAAAGATTTCTCAATGTACCGAACTTGAACTTTTTAAGTGCTTGATTTAAATGAATTGTCATACTTCAAATTTGGTTGTATTTCTGCTTGATTTTCCGATATTTAGATAACCAAGTTTATTGCTTTCAGTTTACTGAAGAGTTTCTGTTACTTCTCTAACTGAAATCTTCCTGTTTCTTGCAGGAACACCTTATAAGGGTGGAATATTTTTCCTTGATATAACCTTTCCTTCTGATTATCCATTTAAACCTCCAAAGGTATGTTGAAGGTTACACAGTGAATCTCCTATGCATCTAGCGTTGTATTTTTCCTGATCCAGGCATCTACTTTTGTATTTTATCTGAACAACAAACTTCCAATATTCTCCATCAGTTATACCATTTGTTCTGATATAAACTTTAAAACTAGGATGAAGCGCAAGGATCCTTGTTCACCGTCTTCTGATAAAATGTTTGTGGAGTTCTTTTCTGCTGAATAGAACTTAGCTAAGAAATGGTAATTGCTATGAACTAGTTGCTTCCCTTACTTATGAAAACTATCACTTGTGCTCTTTTGAATTTTAGGTCATGTGTACATGCATGGTCATTGTGGGAACTTGTTACTCTTGAGGTTTATGAGTTCTAGATTATTGCCTTTTGAGTTATTGGATTCTAAATTAATAATTTGTGCACATTAAATGTGTTTTCGAAGGCAACGACAGGGTTTGGATCAAAGTGACTGGTTTCTGCCGAACTCTTACATTCTACTCTAAGTTCGTTTTCCATTATTAATGGGAAAAATCAAGCATGTCATTCCCAAATCTCTTATTTCTTACACCTTTTGTTGATTAAAAATAGAAGAAGAGTACTTTGCTCCTTCCTGAACTTTGTTTTGGTGTACAGTAAATGAGTAAATTGAGTAAACAATTTCGTAAGATCTGGTATCTATGTTGTTACTTTCATCTTTATGCAGTACCATGCTTCCGAATAACAGTCGTTATTGTATTAAATTAAGAAAATAAAAGCATGGCTTCCTTTTGGTTGAAATATTTCACCATCAAGCCGATAAACAAGAATCATCTTCACAGACTTGGTTATAGTTCTTGTTTGTTGGCTGAATTTGGTGGAAATTAACTTTTTCTTCCCTTTTCTTTTCGTTCTGATCTCAGGCTTTTGCAGGTTGTATTCAAAACTCGCATATATCATTGTAATGTAGATCCTTCCGGCAATGTTAGCTTGGACATCCTAACAGAGAACTGGAGTCCAGCGTTAACAATCTCAAAGGTGTTACTTGCTCTGAGATCAATGTTCACCAATCCTGAAACTTGTAAGTACATCTTCTATCTTCGGTCCTATGTCCTCTCTCAAAAGAAGTGAAATAGATGAAAAATATTAATTTTATAAAGAGAGGAAAACAACGACAACAACAATACCCGGTGTAGTCCACAAGTGGGATATGAGGAGGGTAGTGTGTATGTAGCCTTATCCCTATCTTGTGAAGGTAGAGAGGCTGTTTCCAAAGGACCCTCAGCCCAAGTAACACATAAAAATACAATATGAAAAGACAAATATAGCAGTGAAAAAGTCATTCTGAAAATAAACAGTAGAAAAATGAGAGGAAAACATATAACCATAAAAAGAGTCTTCATATATTGCTTGTTGAAGGTATTTATAGATTTATGCCGTCTCCCTATTTGGTTTGCATGGGTTAAGAGTAATGAATAGTTGAAAATAATAACTGTAGAACAGAGTGTACAAAACTACCTTTTTTTTGTATCTTACAGTTCCGCTTCTTGCAGATAAGCCGGTTGTTCCTGGTATTGCACACTTATACTTGGGAGATAAAGCCAAACATGATGAAATAGCTGCACAGTGGACACTGAGATTTGCAAGGTGAAAGAAGAACTTGATGTGGAACTTTTTTAACAAGTTCAGGTCAGCCATTGCTTAGGTTGAAGTTTTACAAGCATAGAAGAGCTGTTGTAGACGATATTTAAACTTACAACCTGTATATAATTCATATAAATAAATTCAACTTCTGTTAAACTAATTTTCCAAATTTCACATTTAGACCTGTTGCTTTATTTGTTTGTTGAATAGTTCTTTCCTTCATTTACAAGTCCTTGAGGCTGAACCAATAAAACAGAATGAAACTGGAGGACAGGTTTTACCCTAAAATTCGATTAATCTTGCATCATGTGAAGTGTTTTTTTTTTTTTGGATCTTTTATTGAAAGCAAGTAGAACTAGTCAGAGTCATTACAAAGAGGAACTGAACACCATGTTAGAACATGACGTTGTGTCCGTTAGTTGTAGTTGCATCACAGTTCCTCCCAAAGCTTGCTAAGGGATTCCACCACAACATTGTCATCTCGATAGACATGGCGAACTTCAGTAGGCCCATTGCTCCCAGGTTGAACCTGCAGTTAATTCCATACTTTGTATGTTGTGTATTCATTGTTTTTTTGTTTCTTGAACTCCATGTTTAACATCTAATGTTATGATGTAGATCCAGGAAGAAAGAGAATTTCCCACCCTCTTTTTCTGGTAATATTACTTTAAGAAAAAGTCAACCTTATACTTAGTAGGATGCCATAACTTAGGGGTATTCTGCCTTTTTAGTGGGTAGCCATGAAGGCTCTTAGTACTGACCTAGTCTTTATTTGAACTTTGCTATCATCTTAGTGGCTAACCATGAAGCAAATACATAAATGTTAAGAAGGATGTCACAATTGGACTATAAAAACCAGAGATCCTAACTCAACTATGCAACACAAGTCTTAGTTCTATCCTTTCTTTTCTCTCCAAGAATCACAATGAGAAGCTTTTGGAATTTGGGGCAATTGCCTCTTCTAGCATTTGCTTTGGCAATTTGCTTTGTAGCCAGCACTGTTGTTGCTGATTACTCTTATGGCTATACTTCTCCCTCACCTTCTAACATCTCTAAGAAGTACTACAAATCACCATCTCCATCTCCATCCAACTATCATGAACCAACTCCATACTACAAGAAACCGGAGAAACATGCTGAACATTCTCCATCACACTATTACAAGTCCCCTACTCCTTCAAAGCATTACTACAAATCACCAGTAGTAGTGAAGTATTACAAATCACCAGTTCCTTCAAAGAAGTACTACAAAGCGCCTTCCCATCCAAAGAAGTACTACTACAAGGCACCTTCCCATTCAAACAAGTACTACAAAGCCCCTGCTCCTTCAAAGAAGTACTACAAGTCCCCTGCCCCTTCAAAGAACTATTACAAGTCACCATCTCCTGCAAAGTACTACAAATCTCCTTCACCTGCAAAATACTACAAGTCACCTGCTCCATCAAAGCACTATTACTATAAGTCACCATCCCCTACAAAGTACTACAAATCTCCATCGCCTGCAAAATACTACAAGTCGCCTGCTCCATCAAAGCACTATTACTACAAATCTCCATCACCTGCAAAATACTACAAGTGGCCTTCACCATCAAATCACTATTACTACAAGTCACCATCTCCAACAAAATATTACAAGTCACCCGCTCCTTCTAAATACTATAAATCTACCCCTTACTACAAGTCCCCTCCACCTCCTCCATACTACAAAGAATCTACCCCTTACTACAAGTCCCCTCCACCTCCCCCATACTACAAAGAATCTACCCCTTACTACAAGTCCCCTCCACCTCCTCCATACTACAAAGAATCTACCCCTTACTACAAGTCCCCTCCCCCTCCACCATACTACAAAGAATCTACTCCTTCCTACAAGTCCCCTCCACCTCCCCCATACTACAAAGAATCTACCCCTTACTACAAGTCCCCTCCACCTCCTCCATACTACAAAGAATCTACCCCTTACTACAAGTCCCCTCCCCCTCCACCATATTACAAAGAATCTACTCCTTCCTACAAGTCCCCTCCACCTCCCCCATACTACAAAGAATCTACCCCTTACTACAAGTCCCCTCCACCTCCTCCATACTACAAAGAATCTACCCCTTACTACAAGTCCCCTCCCCCTCCACCATACTACAAAGAATCTACTCCTTCCTACAAGTCCCCTCCTCCTCCCCCATACTACAAAGAATCTACCCCTTACTACAAGTCCCCTCCACCTCCCCCATACTACAAAGAATCTACGCCTTCCTACAAGTCCCCTCCCCCTCCACCATACTACAAAGAATCTACACCTTCCTATAAATCACCTCCACCTCCCCCATACTACAAAGAATCTACTCCTTCCTATAAATCCCCTCCCCCTCCCCCATACTACAAAGAATCTACCCCTTCATATAAATCCCCTCCCCCTCCCCCATACTACAAAGAATCTATCCCTTCCTATAAATCCCCTCCCCCTCCACCATACTACAAAGAATCTACACCTTCCTATAAATCTCCTCCACCCCCATCAACCTACTAATGAAATAGTTACTAATTCTATCATTTCCACCATTTCCATGAATTGTAACTCCTACTTTTAGTATCTCTATTTCCTCAGCCAAAATTTTATGTATTCTTCAAGAAGGTTTTGCTTGTTTTGTGTGTTCCTTTCTTTTAATAATTTGTAATATGCATTGTTTGAGATCCTCAAGATCTCCTTCAGTTTGGTTCATTGTATCAAGATTCTTTTTGATGTAATCTCTTGAGAGTTCAACTTTGTGTAATACTATCTTCTTCTTTATCAAATATTGCGTTCTCTTATTGGTTGAGTTCTTGACTTCTTTCATTGTTCCATAAGCATTCACCTTCTGGACATCTATGCTAAACTCTTATATGAAGAGAAACCACTTCTGAGTATAGTTTGGTAACTGTACTCATTAACTTTTGAGAAAGTAAAATTATGTAAAATAAACAGAATAAGAAAGAAATAAGGAGGCATTTAAACTAAGAAAATGCATCATTTTGACAATTCTTTTCTAAGATAGAGAAGAGGAAAAGGCAACATAGTCAAGGTTTATCGACATTTTTCTCTTCAAAGATTACTCTTTTCATTATTGATTTTTCCATCTGTGAAGATGTAACCAAGTTTCAGATTTGTTAGAAAAGTATTCTTAGTTTTATAGGTTAAATTAAAAACTATATGTGCAACTCCAACATTATTGCCTCCATTAAGTTACTAATAAATTAACAAACAATTCGTACGGAAATGGGATCCCAATAGCAAGAGACAAAAGATTCTTATGAGAAAACATAAGTAAACGAGCCTCTACTTGAACCTCCAAGGATAAAGGTACATGAACAACCAATTGATCTCCGTAAAAATCGGTATAGAATCCCTTGAAAACTAATGGATGTAAACAAATAGCGTCCCTCCACTAAAACAGGCTGGAATGCCTGTATGCCTAATCTATGCAGATTGGATGCTCTATTTAGCAATATAGGATGTCCCTGTGTAACTTCTTGATCAGTAAAAAAGAGTAATCTTCTTATGTAGTTATTCATAAGTTGTTATCCCCTTACATCTAACTATTAAATAAATAAGTTTCATACCCCAAGAACACGAAAAGAAACATACTGATATTAATCCGACTTAAGTAGGAAAACATATTTGAGGGTGAACCAATAAAGCAGAATGAAACTAAGGACAGGTTTTACCCTAAAATTCAATTAATCTTGCATCATGTGAAGTTCTCATTTTTTTGGATCTTTTATTGAAAGCAAATAGAACTAGTTGGAGTCATTACAAAGAGGAACTAAATGCCATGTTAGAACATGACGTTGTGCCCGTTAGTTGTAGTTGCATCACAGTTTCTCCCACTGCTAAGGGATTCCACCACAAAATTGACTTCTCGATAGACATGGCGAACTTCCGGTAGGCCCATTGCTCCCAGGTTGAACCTGCAATTAAATCCATACATTGTATGTGTATTCACTGTTTTTTCTTGAACTCCATGTTTAACATCTAATGTTATGGTGTAGATAGAGGAAGAAAGAGAATTTCCCACCTTCTTTTTCTGGTTATATTATTTTAAGAAAAAGTCAACCTTATACTTAGTAGGATGCCATAACTTAGGAATATCCTGCCTTTTTAGTGGGTAACCATGAAGGCTCTTAGTACCGACCTAGTCTTTATTTGATCTTTGCTATCATCTTAGTGGTTAACCATGAAGCAAGTACAAAAATGTTAAGAAGGATGTCACAATTGCAGTATAAAAACCAGAGATCCTAACTCAACTATGCAACACAAGTCTTAGTTCTATCCTTTCTTTTCTCTCCAAGAATCACAATGAGAAGCTTTTGGAATTTGGGGCAATTGCCTCTTATAGCATTTGCTTTGGCAATTTGCTTTGTAGCCAGCACTGTTGTTGCTGATTACTCTTATGGCTATACTTCTCCCTCACCTTCTTACACCGCTAAGAAGTACTACAAATCACCATCTCCATCCAACTATCATGAACCAACTCCATACTACAAGAAACCGGAGAAACATGCTGAACATTCTCCATCACACTATTACAAGTCACCGGTGCCTTCCAAGCACGACTATTACAAGTCCCCTACTCCTTCAAAGCATTACTACAAATCACCAGTAGTAGTGAAGTATTACAAATCACCAGTTCCTTCAAAGAAGTACTACTACAAGGCACCTTCCCATTCAAACAAGTACTACAAGGCACCTTCCCATTCAAACAAGTACTACAAGGCCCCTGCTCCTTCAAAGAAGTACTACAAGTCCCCTGCTCCTTCAAAGAACTATTACAAGTCACCATCTCCTGCAAAGTACTACAAATCTCCTTCACCTGCAAAATACTACAAGTCACCTGCTCCATCAAAGCACTATTACTATAAGTCACCATCCCCTACAAAGTACTACAAATCTCCATCGCCTGCAAAATACTACAAGTCGCCTGCTCCATCAAAGCACTATTACTACAAATCTCCATCGCCTGCAAAATACTACAAGTGGCCTTCGCCATCAAATCACTATTACTACAAGTCACCATCTCCAACAAAATATTACAAGTCACCCGCTCCTTCTAAATACTATAAATCTACCCCTTACTACAAGTCCCCTCCACCTCCCCCATACTACAAAGAATCTACTCCTTACTACAAGTCCTCTCCACCTCCCCCATACTACAAAGAATCTACTCCTTACTACAAGTCCCCTCCACCTCCCCCATACTACAAAGAATCTACCCCTTACTACAAGTCCCCTCCACCTCCCCCATACTATAAAGAATCTACCCCTTACTACAAGTCCCCTCCACCTCCCCCATACTACAAAGAATCTACTCCTTACTACAAGTCCCCTCCACCTCCCCCATACTACAAAGAATCTACTCCTTACTACAAGTCCCCTCCACCTCCCCCATACTACAAAGAATCTACTCCTTACTACAAGTCCCCTCCACCTCCCCCATACTACAAAGAATCTACCCCTTACTACAAGTCCCCTCCACCTCCCCCATACTACAAAGAATCTACCCCTTACTACAAGTCTCCTCCACCTCCTCCATACTACAAAGAATCTACCCCTTACTACAAGTCCCCTCCCCCTCCACCATACTACAAAGAATCTACTCCTTCCTACAAGTCCCCTCCTCCTCCCCCATACTACAAAGAATCTACCCCTTACTACAAGTCTCCTCCACCTCCTCCATACTACAAAGAATCTACCCCTTACTACAAGTCCCCTCCACCTCCCCCATACTACAAAGAATCTACCCCTTACTACAAGTCTCCTCCACCTCCTCCATACTACAAAGAATCTACTCCTTCCTATAAGTCCCCTCCTCCTCCTCCATACTACAAAGAATCTACTCCTTACTACAAGTCCCCTCCACCTCCCCCATACTACAAAGAATCTACGCCTTCCTACAAGTCCCCTCCCCCTCCACCATACTACAAAGAATCTACGCCTTCCTATAAATCCCCTCCTCCTCCACCATACTACAAAGAATCTACTCCTTCCTATAAATCACCTCCACCTCCCCCATACTACAAAGAATCTACTCCTTCTTATAAATCCCCTCCCCCTCCCCCTCCCCCATACTACAAAGAATCTACCCCTTCATATAAATCCCCTCCCCCTCCCCCATACTACAAAGAATCTACTCCTTCCTATAAATCCCCTCCCCCTCCACCATACTACAAAGAATCTACACCTTCCTATAAATCTCCTCCACCCCCACCAACCTACTATTAAAATAGTTACTAATTTTATCATTTCCACCATTTCCATGAATTCAAAATCCTACTTTGAGTATCTCTATTTCCTCAGCCAAAATTTTATATATTCTTCTAGAAGGTTTTGGTTGTTTTGTTTGTTCCTTTCTTTTAATAATTTGTAATATGCATTGTTTGAGATCCTCAAGATCTCCTTCAGTTTGGTTCATTGTATCAAGATTCTTTTTGATGTAATCTCTTGAGAGTTCTACTTTGTGTAATACTATTTTCTTCTTTATCAAATATTGTTTGCTCTTATTGGTTGAGTTCTTTCATTGTTTCATAAGCATTCACCTTCTGGACATCTAATGCTAAACTCTTATATGAAGAGAAACCACTTCTGAGTTCTGAGTATAGTCTCTGGTAACTGTATTCATTAAATTTTGAGAAAGTAAAATCATATAAAATAAACAGAATAAGAAAGAAATAAAGAGTCATTTGAACTTTAAGCAAATGCATCATTTCAACAATTTCTTTTCTAACATAGAGAAGGAGAAAAGGCATCATAGTCAAGGTTTATCTACATTTTTCTCTTCAAAGATGCAACCAAGTTTCAGATTTGTTAGAAAATTATTCTTAGTATTATAGGTTAAACTAAAATTATATGTGCAACTCCAACATTATGGCTTCCATTAAGTTACTAATAAATTAACAAACAATTCATATGGAAATGGGATCACCAACAGCCAGAGACAAAAGATTCTTATGAGAAAACATAAGTAAACGAGCCTCTACTTGAACCTCCAAGGATAAAGGTACATGAACAACCATTTGATTTCCATAAAAATCGGTACGGAATCCCTTGCAAACTAATGGATGTAAACAAACCCCTCCACTAAAACAGGCTGGAATGCCTATATGCCTAATCTATGTAGATTGGGTGCTCTATTCAGCAATATAGGATGTCCCTGCATAACTTCTTGATCAGTAAAAGAGTAATTTTCTTATGTAGTTATTCATAAGTTGTTATCCCCTTACATCTAACTATCAAATAAATAAGTTTCATACTCCAAGAACATGAAAAGAAACATACTGATATCAATCTGACTTAAGTAGGAAAACAGATTTGACGAGGAAAATGTAGAGTCAGAATAATGAAGACTTGGAAAAAATTAAAACATCAAGATTTTTCCGACAGAAGTTCTGGAAACCTCACTGTAGTTGGCGTTGTTAATGGAGAATATGTGACATTGGACTGTAATTTTCTTAGTTGCAATTTTCTCAACCTTTGTTCTGTGATCTGTCATCTGTAAAGGGGGATTTAGAGTGAAGGTTTATATAAATATTTTTTGGGGTTCATAAGACTAGTTACATACTATATTGCACATGAACTATTGGGATGAGCTTGTGGGATCATGTCAGGTGTACTTCTGGACACTTGAGGTGTAAGTATCGCGAGACAACTATCTGTACGTCTGTCCCAAAGTATCTCATCTCTATATGAGTCCCTGACGAGTTTCAAGTTTGCCTTCCATACATAATCCTCAGACCAAAATGTTATATAAGGTGTAATCTGGTATGATTATCCACTGTTCAATAGTAAAGTCAACTTGTAGATTCTTGTTCTGGAAAAAGATGAGAGAACTTCCCCATTCCCCATTTCAAATTGCCATTCTTTTACTTTGCCAATGGGATGACAGTTGTGGCATTCCTCTTCTTCTCATTTTTCATTTTTGTTCCTAAATTATTTCTTCATCAGGATTTTTTTTTTTAAAGAAGTCATGGATAAATGCTTCCCACTAAGTACTGACCTAGTCTTTATTTTGACTTAGCTATCATCTTAGTGGCTAACCATGAAGCCATTACATGACTGTTAAGAATACTATCAATTTGTAGTATAAATCTAGAGGTTCCTACTCAACTATGCAACACAAGTCTTAGTTCTATCCTCCTCTTCTCCAAGTTTAGTTGGTTGCAAAAGCAAATGAGGAGCTTTGGAAATTTGGGGCAAGGGCCTCTACTTGCATTTGCTTTGGCAATTTGCTTTGTAGCCAGCACTGTTGTTGCTGATTACTCTTATGACTATACTTCTCATTCACCTTCTTACAATTCTAAGAAAGACTACAAATCACCTTCTCCATACTACAAGAAACCGGAAAAACATGTTGAACATTCTCCATCACATTACTATTACAAGTCGCATGCTCCTTCAAAACACTACTATAAGGCACCTGTTGTTGCGAAGTATTACCAGTCACATGCTCCTTCAAAGCACTACTACAAGGCACCTATTGTTACGAAGTATTATAAGTCCCATGCTCCTTCAAAGCACTACTACAAGGCACCTGTTATGGCAAAGTATTACAAGTCACCTGCTCCTTCGAAACAATACTACAAGGCACCAGTGGTAGTGAAGTATTACAAGTCACCAGCTCCTTCAAAGAATTACTACAAGTCACCAACTCCTTCAAAGTACTACTACAAATCGCCAGCTCCTTCAAAGTACTACTACAAGTCGCCATCACCTGCAAAGTACTACAAGTCACCTGCTCCATCAAAGTACTATTACTACAAGTCCCCATCCCCTTCAAAATATTACAAATCACCCGCTCCTTCTAAATACTATAAATCACCAGCACCACAAAAATATTACAAGGCACCTGTTTACTACAAGTCTCCTCCACCACCACCAACTTATTATGAGAAATCCCCTTCTTACTACAAGTCCCCTCCCCCTCCACCATACTACAAAGAATCTACCCCTTACTACAAGTCCCCCCCTCCTCCCCCATACTACAAAGAATCTACGCCTTCCTACAAGTCCCCTCCACCTCCACCATACTACAAAGAATCTACCCCTTACTACAAGTCCCCTCCCCCTCCACCATACTACAAAGAATCTACTCCTTACTACAAGTCCCCTCCACCTCCCCCATACTACAAAGAATCTACCCCTTCTTATAAATCTCCTCCCCCTCCACCATACTATGAAGAATCTACGCCTTCCTATAAATCTCCTCCACCTCCACCATATTATGAAGAATCTACACCTTCCTATAAATCTCCTCCACCCCCACCAAAGTACTATGAGCAATCTCCTACAACCTATAACTCACCACCTCCACCACCACCAGCCTATTACAAGCAAGCTCCCACCTATGCCTCACCTCCACCACCTCAGAAGTACGAGCAATCTGTCACCTATGCTTCACCTCCACCCCCGCCAGCATCTCCCCCACCGACATACTACTAAACATTCAATAACTCTTATCATTTCCATGACTTCTACATCCTATTTTGATTTCATTCCCTCTTCCAAAATTTAATGTATGCTTGTCAAAATGATCAGCTTTGCTTACTGTATGTTCAATATTGTTTTGTTCTAATGAATTGTATTTTGTATTATGTCTTCATTAGTTTTTCTCATTGTATCAAGATTAATAGTTTGTTACCTATCTTCTCTTCTTTGTGTAATATTCTGTGGTTTTAATCGACTTAATTCTTTCAAGTATAGTATACCTCCATAACATATATTTGATGATACGGAAAGATACAAAAGGTTAGTTGGGAAACTAAACTACCTTACAGTGACCCGTCCAGATATTGGCTATGCAGTTAGTATTGTCAGCCAGTTCATGTCTGCACGAACAGTTAAACATTGGGTAGTCGACGGAATTCTATTTCGAGACTCGGAACTTCAAATGTTGACTAAAGTCAATCATTTCAACTTAAAAGCTTCCAAAACTTATAAAAATCTCAACTTTACGATTTGGTTTCAAATTTAACCTCAAAAGCTTATCAAACATGACTTGGGGTAACTATTGAGAGGGATAAAACGGTAATTTTTCCAAAAAAATAAATCCAAATATGACCTTCAGGGTCATTACACACTTTGTTCCCGAGAAGATAGAGAACATGATTTCTACTAGCTATGTAAAGACGAGAGAAATCGGGTAATATATTAAAGAAGGCTATAAATGGTACCCGTGTGGAATATCTTTGTAACACGTTGGACATGATTAATATCTATACTACAACTTGAGGGGGAGTGCTACATAATGTATATAGACGCATCTTCATACAATCGTAGGTTGAGATATTAGGGATTTTGTGACTTTGTTTCCTTAGATAGATTTACTTGTACACCTATAAATAGCTCACTCTTGGAATAATATGATAAGGAGATTCGTTCCATTGCCTCTTTATTTTACAATAAGCCTTCTTTGACATACTATCCATTTTTTGGATTGTAATTATACTAATCAACTTTTGAAAAAGAAAATTATATAAAGCAAAAAGAAATAAAGAGTCATAAGTTAATAAATTAACCAACAACTCATAACACTATGATACTCATTAGTAAAAGATTAATCTTCTTATGTAGTTATTTGTAAATTGTTACCTCTTACAAGAGGGGCGTACCCATTATCCACCGAGTTTAGAAGGCTGTAATTGGTCCAAAGGGTGGGTCACAGGCATATTTCTCGGTTATCAAAAAAAAAATGGTTACCCTTTACATGTTTTAACTAATAAAATAAATGTCATACCCCATGAACATGAAGAGGACAATATTGTTATCAATCTGACTCAAGTAACTAAAAAAACAGATTTTGAAGACGAAAATATAGAGTTTGATTAACGAAGACTCAGCTAAAAATAAGACATATCAAGATGTTTTCGATAAAAGGTGTTGTGAAACCTCTCTGTATTTAGCATTCTTGACGAAGAATATGTGACATTTGACTCTAATCTTTTTACTTGCAATTTTCTTAACTCATTGTTTTTTTTATTATCAGTGAAGGGTGATTTAGAAAGACTAAGTACATAGATTGCACAGGAACTATTGAGACAAGCCCCGTGTGTTGGACGTTTGATGCCTCTCAGGTATACATGCTGACACTTGAGGTGTAAGTCTCGCGAGGCAACAGCCTCCACATCTGTCCCAAAGTACCTCATCTCGAGTCCCTAACGCGTCTCAAGTTTGCCTTCCATGTGTGATCCTCTGTAAGTTTTTGAACTTCTTGTTCAGTTTTTGTACAAGTGAACATATAATTCTTGTTCTGCAAATGGTCATTAATCTTTTACTTTCCCAATGGGATGGAAGTTGTGGCATTCCTCTTCTAATCTTCTCATTTTTTTATGTTTCTAATGATTTGTTCAATCATTAGAATAAGGTTTAAGAAAAAAAGTTGTGGAAAAATGCTTCCCACTAAGTATTGACCTAATCTTTATTTGGACTTTGCTATGATATTAGTGGCTAACCATGAAGGATGTCACTTTGCTACTATAAAAACTAGACATCTCAACTCAACTATGCAACACAAGTCTTAGTTTTATCCTTTTTTTTTACAATCAAAATGAGAAGCTTTGGGAATTTGGGGCAATTGCCTCTACTAGCATTTGCTTTGGCAATTTGCTTTGTAGCCAGCACTGTTGTTGCTGATTACTCTTATGGCTATACTTCTCCCTCACCTACTTACACCTCTAAGAAGTACTACAAATCACCATCTCCATCTCCATACTACAAGAAACCGGAGAAACATGCTGAACATTCTCCGTCACACTATTACAAGTCACCGGTGCCTTCCAAGCACGACTACTACAAGTCCCCCACTCCTTCAAAGCACTACTACAAATCGCCGGTAGTAGTGAAGTATTACAAATCACCGGCTCCTTCAAAGAAATACTACAAGTCACCTTCCCCTTCAAAGTACTATTACAAGTCGCATGCCCCTTCGAAGAAGTACTACAAGTCACCATCCCCTTCAAAGAATTACTACAAATCTCCATCGCCTGCTCCATCAAAGCACTATTACTACAAGTCACCATCCCCTGCTAAGTACTACAAATCTCCATCACCTGCAAAATACTACAAATCTCCATCGCCTGCAAATTACTACAAGTCGCCTGCTCCAGCAGAGAACTATTACTACAAGTCACCATCCCCTGTAAAGTACTACAAATCTCCATCACCAGCAAAATACTACAAGTCACCTGCTCCATCAAAGCATTATTACTATAAGTCACCATCCCCATCACAATATTACAAATCACCCGCTCCTTCTAAGTACTATAAATCGCCGCCACCACCAACATATTACAAGTCACCAGTTTATTACAAGTCCCCTCCCCCTCCACCATACTACAAAGAATCTACCCCTTACTACAAGTCTCCTCCTCCTCCTCCATACTACAAAGAATCTACCCCTTACTACAAGTCCCCTCCACCACCCCCATACTACAAAGAATCTACCCCTTACTACAAGTCCCCTCCACCTCCCCCATACTACAAAGAATCTACGCCTTCTTATAAATCCCCTCCCCCTCCCCCATACTACAAAGAATCTACGCCTTACTACAAGTCCCCTCCCCCTCCCCCATACTACAAAGAATCTACACCTTACTACAAGTCCCCTCCCCCTCCCCCGTACTACAAAGAATCAACCCCTTCCTACAAATCCCCACCACCTCCCCCATACTACAAAGAATCTACACCTTACTACAAGTCCCCTCCCCCTCCCCCGTACTACAAAGAATCAACCCCTTCCTACAAATCCCCACCACCTCCCCCATACTACAAAGAATCTACCCCTTACTACAAGTCCCCACCACCTCCCCCATACTACAAAGAATCTACCCCTTACTACAAGTCTCCACCACCTCTCCCATACTACAAAGAATCTACCCCTTCCTATAAATCATCTCCACCGCCCCCATACTACAAGGAATCTACCCCTTCCTATAAATCACCTCCACCTCCCCCATACTACAAGGAATCTACCCCTTCCTATAAATCACCTCCACCTCCCCCATACTACAAGGAATCTACACCTTCATATAAATCTCCTCCACCTCCACCATACTACAAAGAATCTACCCCTTCCTATAAATCTCCTCCCCCTCCACCAAAGTACTATGAGCAATCGCCTACAAAATACAACTCACCATCTCCACCATCACCAATCTATTATTAGCAAACTCCCACCTATGCCTCACCTCCACCCCCGCCAACATACAACTAAACATTCAATAACTCTATCATTTCCATGAATTTTACATCCTATTTTTATTCCATTTCCCTTCCAAAATTTAATGTATGTTAGTCGAAATGATCGACTTTATTTATTGTGTGTTCGATATTGTTTTGTTCTAATGATTTGTATTATGCATTACTTGAGAATTAATTAAGTTTTCCTCATTGTATCAAGATTAATAGTTTGTTACTTGTCTTCTCTTCTTTGTGTAATAATATTGTATCCAAATTGTTAATTGAAATGAGGTGGTATTTTCCCTACATAATTTCTTCCCTGCAAAAAATTGTAACCTATCTAATTAAAAAAAATTGGTAAAATCTACTAAAATTATTTATAAATTCACAAATTAAAATCTAATATCATGATGATATGCAACTCAACAAAAAACGCCTAAAATACATTAACATTATAAAATTTTAAAATAAAATAAAAATGTGAAAAAGTTGGCATAAATTTTAGAAATGCTAATATATGACTATGAAATATACAATCAACTTTATATAATATCATGATATACAACTCTAATTACAACGCCTAACAATCCAAATATTAGAAGGAAACAAAATATCATATGTTCCTCTTGAGAAATAAATATATTAATATTATTACTTGAATTTCTCTCTTTGATTAAACGAGTTGTGTTTGGACCAATTTATTCATACCGCAACTATTCCATCATGTACTTGCTATCTAGCGGTTAGCTCCCACTATAATACATGTACCAAGTAACTTTACTCACTTTAGGCAGATGGAAAAATATCATATAATGTTCGAAGACAACTCTTTCCATTATTGAATTTCTTGCTTGACATAAAACCAAGTTTTAGATATAAAAAAAAAAATGTTACTTATAGTCTTATATAGGAAAGTTACAATTGCATAGTACAACTCCAACACCAACACTGTTTGGGTAAATATTTATGAGCATTGGGTATTTACACCAAATTTATATAATTTATTGTAGTTAGATAATTTAATGGAGTGAAATATATTAATTAACCATGATTAAGTGAAGTTATTGTATATTTATACACATGACATACATTCATTAATTTGATTTAAACACCCGATGCGAAAGTTAAAATAACAGGACTTGAAAAAAAATATGGAGGTTGTATAATGAAGATCTTGAAAAAGTAAAAAATACATCATGATTTTTCTTATGGAAATTCCATCAAATTAACCCACTATCGTAACAATGGTGTCTGGGTACACTCTACCCTCCCTAGACCTTACTTTGTGAATTTATACTGAATATATTGTTTGTTGTTGTTGTAATCCGGTGTGTGTATATGATCTTTTTGCCTTGTTTTTGAACTTCATGTTCAATATTCAAGTCAACTTATCTATTATTTCTAAATTAGCCCACTTGCAAATTATTTTTTCAATCACCAAAATAAATGCTTGCCACTAATTACACTAAACTAATCTTTATTTGGACTTTCCTATCATCTTAGTGGCTAACCATGAAACCATTACATTAATTAATCTCAAGAAGTATATTACTTTGCTACTATAAAAACCAAAGATCCCAACTCAACAATGCAACACAAGTCTTAGTTCTATCTTTTTTCTCCAAAAATCAAAATGAGAAGCTTTGGAAATTTGGGGCAATGGCCTCTACTTGCATTTGCTTTGGCATTTTGCTTTGTAGCTAGCACTGTTGTTGCTGACTACTCTTATGACTATACTTCTCATTCACCCTCTCCATACTACAAGAAACCGGAAAAACATGTTGAACATTCTCCATCGCATTATTATTACAAGTCGCATGCTACTTCAAAACACTACTACAAGGTACCTGTTGTTGCGAAGTATTACAAGTCACATGCTCCTTCAAAGCACTACTACAAGGCACCTATTGTTACGAAGTATTACAAGTCACGTGTTCCTTCAAAACACTACTACAAGAGTACACCTGTTGTAGCGAAGTATTACAAGTCACCTGCTCCTTCGAAACATTACTACAAGGCACCGGTGGTAGTGAAGTACTACAAGTCACCTGCCCCTTCAAAGAAGTACTACAAGGCACCAGTGGTAGTGAAGTATTACAAGTCACCTGCTCCTTCGAAACACTACTACAAGGCACCGGTGGTAGTGAAGTATTACAAGTCACCTGCCCCTTTAAAGAAGTACTATAAGGTGCCAACTCCCTCAAAGTACTACTACAAGTCACCATCACCTGCAAAGTACTACAAGTCGCCTACTCCATCAAAATATTACAAATCACCTACTCCTTCTAAATATTATAAATCACCATCACCAACAAAATATTACAAGTCGCCAGTTTACTACAAGTCTCCTCCACCACCACCACCAACTTATTATGAGAAATCACCTTCTTACTACAACTCCCCTCCCCCTCCACCATACTACAAAGAATCTACCCCTTCCTATAAATCCCCTCCTTCTCCACCATACTACGAAGAATCTACACCTTCCTATAAATCTCCTCCTCCACCATACTACGAAGAATCTATCCCTTCCTATAAATCCCCTCCCCCTCCACCATACGTAGAAGAATCTACGCCTTCCTATAAATCCCCTCCACCTCCACCAAAGTACTATGAACAATCACCTACAGCCTATAACTCACCACCTCCACCTCCACCAACCTATTCCTCACCACCACCACCTCAGGAGTACAAGCAATCCGTCATCTATGCTTCACCTCCACCCCTTCCAGCATCTCCCCCACCAACATACTACTAAACGTTCAATAACTCTATCACTTCCATGACTTTTACATCCTATTTTAATTACATTTTTTCTTCCAAAATTTAATGTATGCTTATCGAAATGATGGGCTTTGTTTTTTTTGTGTGTTCGATATTGTTTTGTTCTAATGATTTATATTATGTATTACATGAGAATTAAGTAAGTTTTTTCTCATTGTATCAAGATTAATAATAGTTTGTAATATTGTATCTGAATTGCTATCTCTAGAGAATTTCTTCCTGCAATAGTTTGTAGCCTATCTACTTAAAAAAAGAAGGTAAAATCTACTATTTTTAAAAATAAATTCACATGTAGTGTAAAATAATTATAAATATATTAAGATTGTAAGATTTTATAATAAACTAAAACGTGAAAAAGGTTGCATAAGTTCTTAAAACTTTAATATAACATGATTATACAACGCTTAACGATCCATCGATATGAAGGAAATCAAATTTATTTGGAAATGGAAACAAAATGTCGTATGAGTTAAATTAGGTCTTAGGCCTAACTCACACCCCAAAAGCTAGCTCATGAGGGGAGGTTTGTCCAAGTCCGGAGACCAGTTTCCCATCCCTCTATCGATGTGAGACTTCTTAACACTCCCCCACACGCTCAGATATCAACTGGAGCGTTAACACTTATAATTGAGGGCCCAACATCGGTAAACAACACATTGAGATGAGCCTAACTCTAATACCATGTTAAATTAGGTCTTAAGCCAAATTATATGTAACCTTGTCTCCTGAGAAATAAATAATCAAGATACATTTTCTAGACCAACTTGTGTGTGCGGCAACTATATATTCCACCACATACGTACTTATTATCTAGCTCCTATCAATACAAATATCGAGTGACTTTACTCCACAAAAGCTCAGACATGAAAATAGTTTTATCTAGCGTTTGAAGACAACTCCAATTGTGTGCTTCCAACAAGTCAATAGATTAACATTACCTCACAATATTATAACAATGATTCTTGATCAATAAAAGAGTAATCATTAGATATGATTATTTTTAAGTTGATATTCCCAACACTTCTAGTTTTCCATACCCCAAGGAAACAAGGAAAATATGCTTACCCACATCAGGATCTTACATCAACCTGAGTGAATATTATTGTATATTTATACACATGACACGCACACATCCGTTTATTTGGTGTAAACAATCAATGCGAAGCAGAGTTAGAAAAACAAAAATTAGTTCCTAATGGACATGCCCCAAGCCTTGCGTATTGAACGCATACTTGAAGTGTTGATTTCGCGAGACGAGCCCCACACATATGCCTCGGAGCATTTTACTAACAATGCCTCGTCCAAGATGAGTTCCTAATGAGTCTTCAGGTGTGTTTGGTAGGAAGGAAAATATTTTCTACGAAAAATAATCCGCCTTAAAAACTTATTGAAGTTATAATCTAGTGTGTGTATATCTTTCTTTTTGCCTTGTTGTTTTTGAACTTCATGTTCAATATACAAGTCAACTTATATATTCTTTCTAAATTAGCCTACTTGCAAATTATTTTTCTATCATACAAAAAGAAATGTTAGCCACTAATTAAAGTAAACTAATAATATTTATTTGGACTTTAATTAATATCATGATCTTAGTGGCTAACCATAAAGTCATTACATTAATCTCAAGAAGGTTGTTACTTTTGCTACTATAAAAACCAAAGATCCCAACTCAACTATGCAACACAAGTCTTAGTTCTATCTTTTTTTCCCCCATAAAAAATCAAAATGAGAAGCTTTGGAAATTTGGGGCAATGGCCTCTACTTGCATTTGCTTTGGCAATTTGCTTTGTAGCCAGCACTGTTGTTGCTGACTACTCTTATGACTATACTTCTCATTCACCTTCTTACAATTCTAAGAAAGACTACAAATCACCTTCTCCATACTACAAGAAACCGGAAAAATATGTTGAACATTCTCCATCGCATTACTATTACAAGTCGCATGCTCCTTCAAAACACTACTACAAGACACCTGTTGTTGCGAAGTATTACAAGTCTCATGCTCCTTCAAAGCACTACTACAAGGCACCTGTTGTTGCGAAGTATTACAAGTCACACGCTCCTTCAAAGCACTACTACAAGGCACCTGTTGTTACAAAGTATTACAAGTCACCTGCTCCTTCGAAACACTACTACAAGGCTCCAGTGGTAGTGAAGTATTACAAGTCACCAGCCCCTTCAAAGAATTACTACAAGGCACCTGTCCCTTCAAAGGAGTACTACAAGTCGCCAGCTCCTGCAAAGTACTACAAATCTCCATCACCTAGAAAGTATTACAAATCACCTACTCCTTCAAAATATTACAAATCACCATCACCAACAAAATATTACAAGTCGCCAGTTTACTACAAGTCTCCTCCACCACCACCACCAACTTATTATGAGAAATCACCTTCTTACTATAACTCCCCTCCCCCTCCACCATACTACAAAGAATCTACCCCTTCCTATAAATCCCCTCCTCCTCCACCATACTACGAAGAATCTACACCTTCCTATAAATCTCCTCCTCCTCCACCATACTACGAAGAATCTACCCCTTCCTATAAATCCCCTCCCCCTCCACCATACTACGAAGAATCTACACCTTCATACAAATCTCCTCCTCCTCCACCAAAGACCTATGAACAATCGCCATCATATTACTCACCTCCACCACCACCACCACAAGTCTACTAGAAATATTTATCAAACCATTCACTTCAACCATTTCACCATTTCTTTTACTCTTAAATCCTTTTCTTCCTCCTAATTGGAGAAATTCCATTTCAACTGCTAAATTTGTATGTGTGTTTTCCCAAAGGGTCGATTTTTCTTGTTATGTGATCTTTTGTACTAATAATTTATAATATGCAGTTTTTTATATTTATGTAAGATGTTGAGACCTCCAACATTTTGGCTCAATATTGTATCAACCTCCTTTTGATCTAATCAACTGATGTGATCTTTTGTATTAATAATAATTTATAATATGTGTTTTTTTATATTTATGTAAGATGTTGAGATCTTCAACATTTTGGCTTATTGTATCAACCTCCTTTTGATCTAATCAAATGATGATAATTGCATTCTTAAAAACATATATGATTCTAGTCAATACATGATTTGTTTTTAAATGTGTGTATATAGCTTATAAGATAGTGTTAATAGTTCCTATAATAACTGCCTCGCAAAACAAAGCATTTTCAAAACTAAAATTGATAGAATCTTAGCTAAGATCAACAATGTCTCTAGAATGATTAAACGGATTGATTAATTGACTATAATTTTTAATTGAAAAAGATCAATTAATAAAAGAATTCGTTTTTGACTTTCTTTTAATGATTTTTCATTTCAAAATACTAGAAATGATGAACTCTTTTCACGTAGAGTCCTCTGATCATCTTGAATTTCTTGATGCTTGTGATACAACCGATAAATAAATTCAAAATGATAGTTAGCCTAATAAGTTATAGGATCAGTTACACTTATAATTACATGATATAATACAACCCAAACATTGTGTGTTTCCAACAAGTTAATAGATTAGCAATACCTCACAATATTATACAATTATTCTTCAATAAAAGTGTAATCATTAGATATGGTTATATCTAAGTTGTTTGTTATTCCCTAACATTTCCATACCCAAGGAAACAAGGATAATATAGTTAGGTAAATACTTACTCGCATCGGGTGTTTACATTATATTGATGTAACTTACTGTAATTAGATATATAATTTAATAGAGTGTGTGTATATATATATACATCATTAATCATGGTTATATGATATTACTGTATTTTCAAACACATGACATGCATTCATTGATTTGATATAAACACTCACTGCGGATGAGATCGTTAAAAAGAAACAAAGAAATATGGAGGTTGCATAATGAGGATCTTGAAAAACTTAAAACATCAAAATTGTAATATTCCTAGAGTAGAATATAAGATATAAGAACCTCTAATTTTGAGTTTCAATGTGTTCAACTTCTAATTTATGATCAATAAAGATGGCTTTTGAAGATATATAAATACTAAAAAGATTGTTTTCGATATATACTCGATTGCACAAAAATGATGGGACGATACCCAAGCCTAATACAATTGCGCGTTGAACACATTCTTGAAGTGTTGATTTGCGATGCCTCAAATGTTTTACTAAGAATGCATCGTACAAGGTGAGCTCCGAGTCTTAGGATGCGTTTGGTAGGAAGGAAAATATTTTCTACGAAAAATAATTCGCCTTATAAATGACTTATTTAAGGTATAATCTAGTGTGTGTATATCTTTCTTTTTGCCTTGTTGTTTTTGAACTTCAATGTTCAATATACAAGTCAACTTATATATTCTTTCTAAATTATCCCACTTGCAAAATATTTTTTCAATCACCAAAATGAAATGTTAGCCACTAATTAAAGTAAACTAATATTTATTTGGACTTTAATTAATATCATGATCTTAGTGGCTAACCATAAAGTCATTACATTAATCTCAAGAAGGATGTTACTTTGGCTACTATAAAAACCAAAGATCCCAACTCAACTATGCAACAAAAGTCTTAGTTCTATCTTTTTTTTTCCCCATCAAAAATCAAAATGAGAAGCTTTGGAAATTTGGGGCAATGGCCTCTACTTGCATTTGCTTTGGCAATTTGCTTTGTAGCCAGCACTGTTGTTGCTGACTACACTTATGACTATACTTCTCATTCACCTTCTTACAATTCTAAGAAAGACTACAAATCACCTTCTCCATACTACAAGAAACCGGAAAAACATGTTGAACATTCTCCATCGCATTACTATTACAAGTCGCATGCTCCTTCAAAACACTACTACAAGACACCTATTGTTGCGAAGTATTACAAGTCTCATGCTCCTTCAAAGCACTACTACAAGGCACCTATTGTTACGAAGTATTACAAGTCACACGCTCCTTCAAAGCACTACTACAAGGCACCTGTTGTTATGAAGTATTACAAGTCACCTGCTCCTTCGAAACACTACTACAAGGCTCCAGTGGTAGTGAAGTATTACAAGTCACCAGCTCCTTCAAAGAATTACTACAAGGCACCTGTCCCTTCAAAAGAGTACTACAAGTCGCCAGATCCTGCAAAGTACTACAAATCTCCATCACCTGGAAAGTATTACAAATCACCTACTCCTTCAAAATATTACAAATCACCATCACCAACAAAATATTACAAGTCGCCAGTTTACTACAAGTCTCCTCCACCACCACCACCAACTTATTATGAGAAATCACCTTCTTACTATAACTCCCCTCCCCCTCCACCATACTACAAAGAATCTACCCCTTCCTATAAATCCCCTCCTCCTCCACCATACTACGAAGAATCTACACCTTCCTACAAATCTCCTCCTCCTCCACCATACTACGAAGAATCTACCCCTTCCTATAAATCCCCTCCCCCTCCACCATACTACGAAGAATCTACACCTTCATACAAATCACCTCCTCCTCCTCCACCAAAGACCTATGAACAATCGCCATCATACTACTCACCTCCACCACCACCAGTCTACTAGAAATATTTATCAAACCATTCACTTCAACCATTTCACCATTTCTTTTACTCTTAAATCCTTTTCTTCCTCCTAATTGGAGAAATTCCATTTCAACTGCTAAATTTGTGTGTGTTTTCCCAAAGGGTTGATTTTTCTTGTTATGTGATCTTTTGTACTAATAATTTATAATATGCAATTTTTTATATTTATGTAAGATGTTGAGACCTCCAACATTTTGGCTCAATATTGTATCAACCTCCTTTTGATCTAATCAACTGATGTGATCTTTTGTATTAATAATAATTTATAATATGTATTTTTTTATATTTATGTAAGATGTTGAGATCTTCAATATTTTGGCTTATTGTATCAACCTCCTTTTGATCTAATCAAATGATGATAATTGCATTCTTTAAAACATATATGATTCTAGTCAATACATGATTTGTTTTTAAATGTGTGTATATAGCTTATAAGATAGTGTTAATAGTTCCTATAATAATTGCCTCGCAAAACAAAGCTTTTTTCAAAACTAAAATTGATAGAATCTTAGCTAAGATCAGTAATGTCTCTAGAATGATTAAACGGATTGATTAATTGACTATAATTTTTAATTGAAAAAGATCAATTAATAGAAGAATTCAATTTTGACTTTCTTTTAATGATTTTTCATTTCAAAAAAATTAGAAATGATGAACTCTTTTCACGTAGAGTCCTCTGATTTCATCTTGCACAAGAAGGGTAATCGTCGATATCTATCATAGTTACATCCAAAATGTCCTTTACTATCATATATCAGTCGATATATCGAGTCATATATTTGTGTACAAGCTAAAGTTTGACATTAATTACAATATTATTTCTATTAGGTTGCGAATTAATGTACAACCATAAAAAAATTTTACTAGTTATTACCTTATAACTAACATGAATATACAAATATTCTTTTAGGTTGTTAATGCATAAACCATAAATCTCTTTTTTTTCTCAGCTTGTACACATATAAACTTTTGCTTGAGGAAGAAAATGTTAAATCTCTTTCTTTTTTTTAAATGAAGAGGCAACAATAAATGTTTGTATCATAATTAAAAACAAAATTAAAATCATCTTAATTCTCATAATTTTATTTATTTTATTTGATGACCATTCTTCATTTCTCTTACTACCTTACAATCACACAATTATTTCCCCTACCCTCTGTCTTCTACTCCCCCCACCCCACCACCACTACCCCAAAGAAAACACTCAAATTACTAAAATCAAGAAAGACCAATATGTTCCAATTTCTTCATCTCTTTTTTGAAATCAACCATTGCTTCTTCTTGCAAATACACCAAAACTTTGAATCCATTTTCCCCCCCTTCATTAGTAGAAGAATAGGGCAAGAAAAAACAAGGCTCAATACTTCCAACTAAGTGCCTTGAAAGTGGAAAAACAGTCACTGGACCACCCCATCCAAAATCAACAGTTGCATGTCCCAAATGTCTCCAATCAGTGAAACCACTCACCCTATTACCTGCAGGGACGGATTCAGAGTTTAGTTAACAGATTTAACTGAATTCAATATTTTCATCAACCAATATAAATATCAGTGACAGATTCAAAATTTATTAGTGAATGTACATTAATCGAAGGTTAAATTACTTAGTCAGATATTACAAGGACTAAAATACAATTTTATTAATATTAGAGGGACTAAAAGTGCAAATTCTCCTTTCAACAAATATCTAAATTTCAAAAGTACAACGAGTTCAGTGCTAAGAATTACCTGCCGTAATCCCTTCATGGTAATGCAACTCCTGGAAATCGATGAACGATCTTACGTATTCATCGGTTGTGTTGAATTTACTCTTCTTGATTGAATCTGCAGTTTTTGACAATGGTTGATTCACAAGTTCTTGTGCAAGAAATTGAACATACATTGGGACACATCCATTTCCCCAATAGCCAAAGGGCAATTTTGGTATTGTTATTCTTCTTATATTTGTTGCATATGCAAATTTCACTTTTTCTTCACTTGGAATTTTACTTGCCTTCACCCTGTATTCACATAGATCTTATATTAGATCTTTCTATAACACTGATTACTTTATTTGACAATATTTTATTATAACAAGTAAAAAAAATTCGATTTGATATATTTTTGCGTACCTTTCTAGAATATATATATATATATATATATATATATATATATATATATATATATATAAAATTAATTTTTAAAAGTCAAGATTATATATACCTTGCTCTCCATATAAAAGCTCCCAATGCTTCAAAAGTAGTATAATTTGAACCGGATTGTTCATGTAAAAAACCCTTAAGCCGGTTCAACCACTCATCCTTCACCTTAAAACACTCTCGAACCGCCGGTTTACTCGGTTCGATATAAGGCAAAGAGTTTTTATCCAAACTAAGGAACTCATGAAATGGGAACTCGACTCGGGGTGGGTTCCTCGGTCCGAGTAAACTTGATCGGTTCCAGACCGGTTCGAATTTGACCCGACTCGACCCACGAGCTAGCTCCGCCATTGTATTGAAAAAAAGGGTTGCCCCGAGTCCATCACATAACGAGTGATGGATCGCGGCTCCAAGAACCCACCCGCCACACTCGAACCGGGTCACTTGGAGAATAAAGGGTCGGGTCAAAGCATCTTCCCCTTCCGGGTCGGGTACCAATTTTTCGACGAAATTCACATCATGGTAATCATCAAGGTAGTTAATTCCACTCAAGGAACAGTCCACCACGGCACATGTCACGGGGACCCCACTACCAGCATGGCAGTGGAGCTCCAAGCGTTCGTCTTCACGACGAACGAGGCTACCTGTGTAGTGGTAGTAGTGGACAAGGGCGGATGAGAGAGACGATGTGACAACTTGAAACGGGTCGGGTCGTTCTATGGGTCGGGTTTCCGGGTCGTTGACATAGACCCGGAGGTACCGAAATGTGACATGGAGGTTTATGTCTGTGTCTAGGTGGGATAGAGAGAGGACATGGTCGTCGGTGAAAGGAGGCGGTGACGGGTGAATTACGGTTGTTTCCTCAACTTTTACGTCCATTTTCGCGGTGGTGGACGGAGGAGATAATGGTGGTGGTGGGTGAATAATGATGGACTTATAGTACACTTCTTGTTTATAAAGTTTGAAAAATTGGTAGGTAGCAAAAAAAGTTGAATGAAACATGTTGATGTTTTTTTTTTTGTTTTTTTATTTTGGTGGGAAAGGGGTGGTTAATGGCTCTTTATTTTTTGAATTATTATATTTTGACTGATCATTAACTTGAACTTTTAAAATTTGATTTATAAATAGTTAACTATAATCTCAGTTAAAAATACATAAAACTTAAAATTTTGAATCCGTTTCCTCACTGATATATGTCATGCCACTTCACTTGTTTCTTTCTTGCTGTTTACCACTCATTGTTTGGTGGGATAAATATTCCATTACACATACCAGTAAAACTTGACTTTGACATTATTTGAGCATTTAATGAAACTACGAACTTAATTAAGCATGTGACTTAGTGATTAATAATCGAGTAAATTGAGAATTATAATATTATGTCTTGTATGAGACTTGCCAATGTTGTTACACAAGAAATATGTTTTTCCAGACTCAGTGTTCTCATTAAAATTTGTCAACATCATTAAGTTCTTTCACTTTTATGGTACAATATGCATCCCTTCATTGAACATTACTTATCTGATTTGAAAATCAAGAAATAATTTATCATTTGATCATATCAAAAAGTGGCTAGTACTTAATCCCATGAATTATTATTATTAGACTCTTTCACATGTATGGTTTTTTTTAATACTATTCCAATAGTGCCAAAAGAAAGAAAATAAGGGGTCAATTTACAATTTCATGAAAATATAGGACTTCAATATCTTTTATTATTACATTAAAGATTTTAAGCAATAATTGGAGAAAAGTCAACAAGCAAATCTTCAACTCAAATTAAGAAATAATCACATTTTACATGTTCCAACTACTTTACACTAAGCAAACACATCATAAATTCATACATAAATCAAACTAACATTTTAATTTTATTTTACATCTAAGAAAAAAATCTTCAAGGGCCAGCTGGTGCACAATTTGAAACTCGATGGATTAAAAAATGTCATCACCAACCTTGTCTTGAGAACTTTGAAAACCAAACCACATCTTGGTTTTACATAACTCCATGAAGAAGTACCAACCATAACATAAACTAGAAAACAAGACGGAACGAAGCTTAGCACACCACCACCAACCTTGCATTGACAATGGCACTTGATACGACCTCTTAGCGTTAGGCATTTCCTCCTCAACACCAAAAACAACGTGAACTCTAGCATCATTCTGAACTATACAAGAAATTCACAAACAACGCGATGTTTGCAAATGTCAAGAAGGATACAACCAATGCTGTACAAGAATTCCAATCCAAGGTGTGTTCAAAGAATCACATTACTCGTATTCCCAATACTTTACAATACGAAAAAGACATCACAAATGATAAATAAATCAAACTTACAATTCTTTATTATATATCAAGAAATCTTCGAGGGCAAGCTGGTGCATGGTTTGAAACTCGGTGGATCAAAATATCTCATCATCAACTTTGTGTTGATCAACAGTTTCAAAATCAAACCACATCTTGGTTTTACAAAACTCCATGAAGAAGTACCAAGCAATGGCGAAAACAGTGAGCAAGGCACTGACTATATACACGGTGCTATGAGCAACAAACATAACATAAACCAGAAAACAAGATGGAATGAAGCACATCACCAACAGTCCTGGCATTGACAATGGCACTCGATACGGCCTCTTAGCTTTAGGCATCTTCCTCCTCAACCACAAAAACGATGCAAACTCTAACAGCATCCCGAGACTATACAAGAAATTCACAGATGACACAATGTCCGTGAATGTCATGTAGGACACAACCAATGCTACTAGTGTTGGTACAAGAATCCCAACCCAAGGTGTGTTGAACCATTCTGATCTTACACCAAAAACCCGAGGCAACAACCCCATCTCAGCCATTCCAAGAATTTGGTAAGCACAACTACTCAACTGAGCCTCATACAAACCAATCACAGACAGAACAATCCCAAGTTCCATCCAATACTTCAACCAATTTCCAGCAATCATAGAAGCCAAATTAGCAAAATAACCATCAATCCACTCACCTTGTTCCAAAGGGACAGCACCACTAGTACCCAAAAGCGGCAACACGTAACTAATACATGTAACAATCCCAGCTGAAAAAAGTGCTTTAGGAAATGTCTTTTGAGGTTGTTCAACTTCACCAGCTAAAGTACTAGCATTATCCCAAAAATTCAAGTTCCAAAAAAGGGTATTAAAGAACAAGTTCCAATCTTTTTTAACACCCTTTTGGCCTAAACTCAACCATCTACTAGGATCAATTTTTGGAATTGAAAACAATGTAATTAACCAAAAGGGGCAAAGGGAAAGCACACCAAGAACAACAGCAGTGTAACCAACTATAGACAAACCTAAGTAATTCAAGAATGACAAGAACATAGATATGAAGAAAATAGCAATATATCTAGGTAAACCAGAATCAAGAATTGGGTAAATCAATTTAATGTAATCTAAACAAAGAACAGGGTAAGAAGCTAAGTTACAAACAGCACTAAGTAATTTCCAAGAACCCATTAAAGAACCCCAAAAGGGTCCAAAAGCTTTATCAGCCCAAATAACAAAACCCCCATTACCTGGGAAAGTAGTAGCAAGTTCAGCAGTTACAAGAGCTTCAGGGACACTCCAAATAAATGGGAAAATCAGAAATCCAAGAATTGCAAGAAGAGGTCCAGCTGCCCCAATTGCTGCTTCTGCACCATAAGGGCCACCAGATACCTCAAAAAAGATGATGAAAATAAGTGGTATAAGAGCTAATTTCTTGGAGTTTTTGGTGGGGGTGGGGGTAGGGGTGAGGGTAGTGGGTTGTTCTTCATTTTCAAGAAGGTGTTGAGATGAAGAAGGAATTTCAGAAGCTTTCATGGTGTAATTGCAAAGAAAATGAGGGAAAAAAGCTTTCTTTTTTTTCCTCTTTTCAAAGATGGGAAAGTGTTGGACTTTTTTTTTGTTTTGAAGATCTTAGATGCAAATTTTGGTTACATTTATTATTGTGATCCAAAAATTTCTCATGTTTTTTTTCTTCTTCTATTGTTTACTTAATTTTAATGTTCCAATTTTAACAATAGAATTGTCTTCTATAGAAAATACGGTTTTTTATTATTACAAGCATTTTTCTTTCTAGCCGAATAATATCTAATATATTTTTTGTGATTTCTAATACAGTTGTCAAAATCTCTTGTCCAACTAAGATAATATCAATTCCTCACTGGAATCAGCCTCTTCACCTACCAAGGTACGACTCATAATAAGGTCGATAGATTTGGGCTTTTTTTAGTCTCTCAACTTCTTAAAGCCATAGATTCAATAGTGTTTTCTTAAATGAGACCTTTCATATGAATTTGGATTAATGATTCGTAAAGAGAATATTGAAGAAATAAATTTAATACTACAAAAAATCTTTTTTTTTCCAATCTCTCTTTAGTTATATTTTCTTAACTTTGGTGTCCAAACTAATAACTTCACGGACGAGGCTCTTCTCTGATCCCTCTAGTTTCCCACAGTGCTATCCTATATAATTGACACGTGTCAATTTGATTTTTTAATGGACCAGATTAATTTCTTGATCAAATACCATTAACTATGGTTAATACTAATTCTCTCTCCTTCCATTCCTTTCTCAATCATAAACACTTCATTCCCTTCAAAAACTCTCTGAATAACAGAGCAATCAAACATCATTCGTGTAAATCAAACAACTGAAAATTAAAATTACATCAATAATGTTAAATTTGATTTTTCATTTACATATGAACAAAAAGGGAGTCTGAAAAGAGAAAGATTGAAATGGAGTGAGTAACCCCAATTAACGATTACAGTTATAAATACCGCAAGACAAGAAGAAACCCAAAAAATCCAATGGAGAATTTCACAAGAAAAAAAAAGATATATGACAACACATTTTTCCACCCATTTTTCATGCCCTCTCCAGGTCCTTTAGTTGGCCTTTGTAGAAACTCCAATTGAAAAAAATGATGTTACAAAAAGACGGCGGAATTTTGTCGATCACCATTGAAACCAAACCAAGCTTCAAAGTAGTCTCATTTGGTTGGACTTTTAAAATTTTATAACCCAAATACATCCTTTGAATGTTGTCTTATTTTATTATGGTATGAAAATAATGGGAAGAAAAAACGATTTTGTTATTAGCATTCTTCATTTTTTTGCTAACAAAGCAAATTCTTTGCTAATTGAGAATAGGTTCTTGCAAAATTAAGCTTGAAAAGGAAAGAGAGGAGAGATGAGAGAGAAAGAAAATTAGTAATGACCATGGTTAATAGTATTTAGTCAAGAAAATTAATCTGGTCCATTTAAACACGTGTCAATTTTGTATAGGGTAGCACTAGCACTGGAGAGGAGCCTCCTCCTAACTTCACTAATTTCTTAATATATCTCCTACCTCCCACTAATATAGATAAAGAGCAACTTTGTCTAACAAAACAGTAGTTACTTTAGCTTGGGTCATTCAAATTTTCGATATTCCTTTTTATTTCTCATCAAACGAATGACATCTTCCTCTGAAAAATCCTAGCCATTAGACAAATCTCCCAACATACACACCCATTATACCCTTGAGAAAAGTACAAAAAGAAATAAAAGAATCAATAAGGGGAAAACAAAAACCAAAATTAAGTAAATTCACACAAGCTCCATCACTATTGTGTAGTTCATTTGGTTGGAGCAAAGTTTAGCACAGGACACAGCCAAAAAGGGGAAACTTCTCCTCTTAGGAACATGTTGTTATTGCAGAATTGGGGCTACCCATCTGCTGTTTCTTCAAGTTTCTACAACAAACAAAACCCTTCAATTTACAACAACCCAACAACCAAAATCCTAGTATTTCCCTGTTTTGGAAAACATGGTAGATGTTTTTCTTCCTCTTCTATGACCTATAAACCTTTGCCTAAGTTGGTTTGTTTTCATGGGTTTGGTATAGAAGACATAACTGATGTTGTCCATAACAAGGTTAGTCACTCTATTTCATAGGTTTGATAAAAAGTTGCAATCTTTTTTCAATTCTTGATGTTCTAAGGTTCTTTTGTGTAAAGATTGTGTTTTTATGAATCAATTGGGGTTAAGTTCAGTTGGGTTGCCATTGTTAGTGGTGATAGTTGGAGGGTCAGTTTCAGATAGATGATTAAATTAACTTACAATTTGTTTGAATGGTTGTTACTTATTGCATGTTAGTTTTTATAATGTGTGTGTAAACTTGTCAATTAGATTCCAAATTGGTTGTTGTTGCCATTTGTCCAAAAGCCTTGGTGGATAGACTTTTCTCGTTACGTTACATGTGTTGGTGGGAGCTAGTAGGTACTAGTGGAATTAATTGAGGTGTGTGCGAGCTGGTTCAAACACCACTGTTATTAAAACAAACAAAAGTAGAATCCCAAATTGGTTGGATTTACACTATGTTGTAAAGTTGGTGTCTTTATGTATCAATTGAGCTAAAGTTCAGTTGGATTGTCATTGCTAATGGTGAGACATAATACTTCAATGTACAAGAACTCAACAAGCAAAATCCTAGTATTTCCCTGTCTTGGAAAACATGGTAGATGTTTTTCTTACTCTTCTTTGACCTATAAACGTTTGCCTAAGTTGTTGTGTCTTCAATCTTCATGGGTTTGGAATAGAAGACTTTACTGATGTTATTCGTAACAAGGTTAGTCACTCCACTTCATAGCTTCTTAGGTTCCGATATCCATTATGTTTGGTGAAACTTGAAAGATGTCTCGTTTGGTTCTTGTTCCAGGCATTTCGCTAATTGGACTTAATGTTTATGTTACACAAAACAAAATAGTGCAAGATGTCCTTTTAGTCTTTGTTTTTGGATAATCAAGTTATGTTATCATAATACCACGTGATTAGCTCAGATGTCAAGCAGGAACTCTCCGTTGTTTCTCTTCAATTACTATGTTAGGAACTCTGTATGAGCTCTACTTATTTGGTACACGATTCCAGAAAATGGCTCAACGTCTCTCAAACTGAAACATTGATTTCATTAATATGTAGACATTTGTCTCAGAAAATCACATTGCTGTATGATGGTATGCCTTTAAATGTTATTGATTCGTTTAAGCCGTCCCACAGGTTTTGGTTGCAGCAGCTATATCTGCAGCTGTTGGTCAGCTAATGAAGCCATTTACTTCATCTCTATTTTATGGCAATGAGTTCAATTTCAAGACTGCCTTTCAGGCTGGGGGTTTCCCTTCCACACACTCATCTGTAAGATTTCATCTTTCTATCTTTGCGCAACCTTGTATAACTTCACCTATCATTTACACATCTGCTTCCTAAGCCAATGTTTTACGATAAACTGATCAACGCTTCAAAGTTCAATCCCAGATTAGTCTATAATAAAAGAAAATTTAGTTATTCACAAAGTAGCAGCTTTGTTGTCTTTTCTTTTCTGCTATGTTGCTCAGACTCTCCAATAGTGTTGCTGCACTCATGTCGGATCCTTCAAAAATGCACTACTTTTGGAGGATCCAACACAGATCCAGCAGCATTTTTTAAGAGTCCGAGCAGCATACCATTTCTGTCTAGTGTCTCATTTAATTTCATCTACTTTCAAATGACAGGCAGTAGTCGCCACAGCCACTGCCCTTGGCTTGGAAAGGTATTTACTCCTTTTCTATATTCCTCTAACGGAAGTTATGCGTGAATTAGAGCTTGGGAGAAAACATTGTAGTGTTGCAATTAGTTCTTTTTTCTTGGCTAGTTGCTGTTTTCTAGCTATGAGTGACATGCTATTAGTGCGGTAACTGCAGGGGGTTTTCTGATTCGATTTTTGGTTTAGCAGTGGTTTACGCAGGCCTTGTGATGTATGATGCACAGGTATGTAACGAAACTTGAGTGTTTTCAGTCATTTACCCAGTTAAACAGATGTGAACCAATTATATTTTCAAACAAAGGCTATACGAGTTGAGCTAAGTTTCTCTTTGTGCTATTATGTTGTTGAACTCAGACTCTAAAAATGTTGTCATACCCATGTCTGATCCTTAAAAATGCACTACTTTTGGAGATTCATACACACCTGACAATATTATCCAAGAGTCCAAGCAACATAGCGTAAAAGTGTAAATTTTCCACAAAATGCGAAGCCTAAAATAATACCATACCATCATATCTACCCGAGTATGGATTCGACCATATGTATCATCTGATTCTTGTAAGGTACATATGGTTCGTGCTATCCTTTTCTCGGATCACATCAGACTTGGCCTGGATCATCATGGGGATGATACAAATCCAACTGCTCGAACATTGTTTTCATTTCAGCTGCTAATCATGTTTAGACACTATCTTACATTCAAAACGTGAACCATATTCTTCATGCTTCACCAGATCGATGTCCTTGCTAATTAATATTCTAGGCCAAGTTTAATCTATTACACTCAGACTCTCCAAAAATGATGTTGCATCTGTGTGGATCCTTCAAAAATACACTATTTTGTAGGATACGACATGCACCTTGCGACATTTTTAAGAGTCCGAGCAACATAAGGTTCAATTTCAACTGAAAAATTGCATTGGTAAAAAAAATTTTGTTCTTCCTTTTCCTTGCTTTATACACCTGGTTTGTCTCACCATCAACATGTTGCTTCTGTAGGGAGTCCGAAGGGAAGTAGGCATTCACGCAAAAGCGTTCAATAAAGCTTTGTTCAGAAATCAAATAAACTCAGTTCCGTCTACTAACGAACTTGATGTTTTGACGGATTCTACACAAGAGAAATTATCCTCAGATACAGAGAGCTTCGATCCTCAATTATCAGAGGAATCAAGTCCATTTCAACCAAGGTCAAAGAATGCTACTTTATTGCTTAAACCCAATGAGAGAAGAGCCTCATCGTCTAGTTTTGCTCCGTTGAAAGAACAGGTTGGTCATACAGAGGTTGAAGTCATAGCTGGTGCATTTCTCGGATTCTTTGTAAGCTTAGCGGTAAGTTTAGCATGACCCTTCAGTAGTCCTCATTGTTTACTTCGCCTTATTTTTTGGTCTATGAGATACCACAGAAAAACTGTATACAACATATTTACGATGCAAAATGCAACTAAAATCCTTCTATAAATTGCAATATCAAGAAAAGTTTCACTAGCTTTGCCTTCATGAGACCTTTGTGTGTATAATTCTTGGGTGAATCGTGCTTTTGTAATCTGATGTTGATCTTGATAGTAGCACAAGATGAACAGTTTGAATTGACTTCAGTACAGAAAGCACGATCCACCTATTGACTTACCTAGACGGAGTCAATGGGTGATCAAGAAGGCCTATGGCCTAGGCTGGTGAACTCCATTACACTTGGGAGGGGTGCCAGCTCAAGTGGTCGAGCCTACATCATAATTTGTGGTAGTGGAAGTCTGCATTCTCGCAGCCCCTATTCGATACTGAATCTAGAAAAGACCACGTACGTATTTTCGCTCTTTTTGGATCATGTTCATGCTAGTGCTAGTCTTGGTATGTATAGCCCGAAGAGTTAATGGTCAAAAATATACCTGACCTATCATATTTTGGGAGTTTTACCCTCCAACTATCGGTTGTTCTCTTCTTCTTCTTTTTTTGTCTAATCTATCAACATAATAAGTGCTACTAACTATTAATAACTAGTATTAAATAATAAGTGGAGTTTGTGAACGTGTAATGGCCCTCTAGGTCATTTTTGTATTTGTGTCTTCCTTTCATTGTTTAGAGCATTCCTATAGCGACTCCAAGTACTTTATGACTTGTTGGGATAGATAGTTCGGTCACTTAGTCGTTCGTTTGGTTTTTATGCATATTTTTGTATTTGTAAAAGTCTTGTACTCTTATTTTGATTAGATGCTCATTGTCTTGATGATGTTGCATTTTTGTTAATTACCATTTTCTTCGCTTTGTAATAAACTTCTTGTTTCTTATTGACGACTTCTGCTTGATAGCCCGTTGCTTATGGTTTCGGGCTATGAGTTAGGCTTACCTACTGATAGGATGTAGTAGGTGTCATCATGACCTGAGAAATTGAGTTGTGACAGAAGGATAGTGTGTAAGCAGATCTTTACCCTTACCTTGTGTGAGGTAAAGAGGTTGTTTCCAAAATACCATAGGCTCAAGTAAAACAATTCAAAATAGGTTTGTTGAAAAAGCTTAAGTAAATTACATTAATAGTGTGATCCCACAATTAGTTCTTTGGATTGTTTTTCCTTGAGTAAACTATCGAAAGCAGTCTCTTTACCTCAAAGTTAGAGATAAATTTGTGTATACTCTGCCCTCTCCAAACTCCACTTTATGAGATTATACTTAATATCTTATTGTTGTTACAGTGTATATATGTTAAATCCTAAAGTATAAAATTCAAAAGAAAATTGAAAATGAATATGACAAACCAAAAACATATTTTGCCTTCAAATTCTTTGTGAACTAAAAGTGTACATCTTTTCCATATATGAAGTCTACATCATGAAAAATCTTCACAAATCATAAGCTTTCCATACCAAAAAGCAAAGGAAAAACCATGCACCAAACTAACTAGAAAAGACAAAAAAAAATAAAATCCATCCCCACTTGTATACCTATTAATTATTCAGCATAAATATCATCATCAACCTTAGGGTTGAACTTTAGCCAACTTCTTTTGACTTACACAGAACTTCATCAAAAATACCATCCTATCCTTCAAATAGTCATCAATCAACTAAGTAAGTAGATGCATGAAATTCGTGAAAAAGTGATAGTTCAGGTGTGTTTTTTAATCATGATATGTTGTTCTTAAGTACAAAATACAAAAATTAAGCTATTAGATGAGATGTGTGTAAGTTACATACTTACAAGTCATTTTCCAACAAAGATTGTGGTGGGATGAATGAGTTTTTTTTCTGAGCCTTGAATATGAAAAAAAAAATATCCTATTAAAGAGCAGTTACCCCTTAACTTGGTCTTACACAATGCGCGTCCATATTAATTAAGAACTCAACATAAGTACCGAACATCAATGAAATATCAAAAAAGAAGTACAAAAAACAAAAGAAAATTGAGAAAATGAATAAGACAAAGCTTGTGGTGGTTGTTAGAAGGACATCCAAGCTTGTAATTAGTCCTCGATCAGATTGTGATTGGATAGATAAGATCTCTTTTGAGCTCTATGTTAGGAATCACTTCCCCCTTAAATAAGTCTTACACAGCGAGAGTCCATATTAAATGAGGACCCAATACAGATATTGAACATCGATGGAAATACAAAAAGAAGTACAAAAATCAAAAGAAAATTGAGAAAATGAATAAGACAAAGCTTGTGGTGGTTGTTAGGAGGACATCCAAGCTTGTAATTAGTCTTCGATCAGATTGTGATTGGATAGATAAGATCTCTTTTGAGCTCTCTGTTAGGAAGCACTTCCCCCTTAAATAAGTCTTACACAACGAGAGTCCAGATTAAATGAGGATCCAATACAAATATCAAACATCCATAGAAAACCAAAAAGAAGTACACTAAACAACAGAAAATTTAGAAAATGAATAGGACAAAAGAAAGGACATTTTTGCATTCAATTCTTTCTCAAAATAAAGCAACAATCTTTCCAATATATGAAGTCACATCTATAAAAATACAAAATAAAAAAAGAAGAAAAGTCATACACACCAACTACCTCCCTATTGATTACATTTACTCCACATATTCCTCATAAGCATCATCTACCTTATCATTGAACTTTAACAACTTCTTTGACTTACAATACTTCATCAAAAAGTACCATCCAATCCCTCCAATAGTCATCAATCCACTAATCAAATACACAAGCTTTGTTGCTATAGCCATGATGAATACCAAAAAACCACATGGAACCAAACACATAATCACCAAAAGTGGCAATCTCATTGGCACCCTATAAGGCCTTTTAATCAATGGAAACTTCCTCCTTAACCAAAGAAATGATGCAAACTCCAAAAGCATACCTAAACTATACAAGAAATTTGCACTAGAAATAATATCTTGAAAATTCATATAACTCATCCCAAGTGATATAGTTGTTGACAACACAATCCCAACCCAAGGTGTATTAAACCATTTAGACCTTAGCCCAAAAAACTTAGGTAAAAATGCAATCTCAGCCATACCCAAAATTTGAAATGCTGAACTACTCAATTGAGCTTCAAACAATCCAATGGTAGACAACACAGCACCAATCTCAATCCAAAACTTCAACCACCTCCCTGATATGATCTCCGCGGCGTTAGCCATAAACCCTGTGTCCCAATCGCGTTGGTCCACGTCTACCGCCCCCGTTACAGCCATAAGTGGTATAATATACCCTAAACAAGTGAACACTACACTAGAAAAAAGTGCTAAAGGAAATGTCTTTCTTGGATTTTCAACTTCACCAGCCATAGTACTAACATTATCCCAAAAATTCAAGTTCCAAAAGAGTGTATTAAAGAACAAGTTCCAATCTTTTTTAACCCCCTTTTGACCTAAACTCAACCATCTATGAGGATGAATCTTTGGTATAGCAATTAATGACATTATGATAAAAGGGGCAAGTGAAATAACCCCAAGTGCAACAGCTACATACCCAACAATTGTTAATCCAGTATAGTTAACAAGTGATAAAAACAAAGTTGAACCAAGAATTGCTAATTTTCTTGGAACCCCAGAATCAAGAATTGGGAAAATTTCTTCCAAATAACTAATACACAAAACAGGGAAAGATGCAATATTTATGACACCAGTAAGGAATTTCCAAGAACCCATTAAAGAACCCCAAAAGGGTCCAAAAGCTTTATCAGCCCAAATAACAAAACCCCCATTACCTGGGAAAGTTGTTGAAAGTTCAGCTGTAATTAGGGCTTCTGGTACACTCCAAATAAAGGGGAAAATTAGAAATCCAAGAATTGCTAGTAAAGGGCCAGCTGCTTTAACAGCTGGTTCTTCACCATATGGACCACCAGCTACTTCAAAGTATATGAGGAAGATTAATGGGATGAGGGTAAGTTTGTGGTTTTTTTTTGGGGTGGTGGGGTTGGTGGTTGTTGGGAGGTGTTGTGGTGGTTCTATGGTGGAGGAAGGTGAATCAAGATTTGGTGTCTCAATCTTTTGTGTCATTTTCTCTTTTTGGTTTTGGAGTGGTGAAATAGTTGACTATACAAGTTTCTTAGAAGATGGACTAGTAATATAGAAGTACCAAGAGTGGGACAATTTTAAATAGTATGCATGGTGGGACGGATGGTGTTCCAGTCGGTTTGTGTATTTTAAGGTATAATATATAAATATGTTTTTTAATTTGGTGTCAGCAGATATTTATGTTTCTTAGCTTTACGTGTGCACAAGTAAACACATGTGTTCTTAGCTTTACGTGTGCACAAGAACGTGAATTGTCATTTAGGATGTCAAGTAGGACATATGTATCTATTTGTTCAACTTTATACAAGTTATGTAGACTCAAAGTTAGAGGGCATAGTTTTCAGCTGAGGTCAAGTTAAATGATACGTTTATGTATGATACCGTATTTTAATTGATTTTACGGGGTGTTTGTTATCTTCCATCAACACATTATCTTGTGTATACCTTAACTAGTTATCTATCATTTCTCACTAGCCAAGAGTATCAAATAACTACGTGGACATATGGAATGAAATCACTTTTTGTATTCTTAATACTTCATGATTCTCTAATTATTATTATTATTACTACTACAACTACTACAAAATACATATCATTATTGTCTCAATTTTTTTTCTTTTGTATTAATATTAGTATAATTAACTATTTATATTACTACCAACAAGTGTGATGGATCATGGATTGTTTTATTATTATCATGTCTCGAATTTGAATTTTGAGATTTGTAAAAATAATGGATAGAAAATAATTTTAAAAAACCAATGATATTTAATGTCAAATAATTATACGAAAAATTATTATTATAATAATCATCATCGAATCATTTTTTATTATTTTATGTTTCCAAAAAAAGTTGTTATGGTTTGTATTTTATTTTTAAATATTTGCACATGGTGCTCAATTGGAGCCTTCTTGTATAATATTTTCTGCTCAATTTTTTAAAAATTATTATCAAGTGGACCTATGACCTAAGATGAGTAATAACTTGTTCACGTTATTCATTAAATTATTATTATCTATGTGGAAACACTATCTTCAATAATATCAAGACATAAAAAACATGTTTTTTTTAATTTTCATTTATTAATTGGTCAAAAGGCTTTACACATATGCCAAGTGACAAAAATAATCCCTTGGTAGGTTGAATATTCTTTTTGAAACTGAATAACTAGGTGTCGATAAATTTCTATCGCACCCTTTGCGACATGCTCGTTTCAAAAGGAATTAAGATGGGAATCGATCTCGAATCATACATGTGGATGATCACCTTTCAAATCAACTGAGTCATCTCAAAGAATTTGGATTATATTTTACGTAAATATGTCATACTATTTATTTGGATATAAGAATTTTTCGTAAGAGAAATATAAAAAAAAATATGTTGTTTGTTTTAAAATAAATTAATAAAAAATAATATCACATAAAGTGAAACGGAGGGATTGTTAAGTTTCACATGACAAATTGTGTGAATAAATTAACAGCGGAAAAAACAATTCAACAATTAACATGTGAAGGCAAATTTGTTACTTGATAACCACTAAAGTGGGTAGGTTCTTTAAAATATTATTTTTAGTAATATGCATGTGGTGATGTTTGTTTGAATACGAAGTTTAACTAAGTAAGAATTTGTAATAGAAAATAAGTTATAAGTATTTGTGTTGTTGGAAGGTAAAGTGATTAACAGGATCAATTTATACTTGTCTAGACTACTTCGACATGTTCATTGAGCAAGTAAAATTTGATCTTGCAGCATGTCGGGATGAGTCTCCTTGTATAAAAGAAAATCTTTGATTAGGATGAAATTCGAAGATTTACAAAGGAACACTAGCTATATGCTTAGCACATGCAAACTGAACTCTTACAAAAAAAAAATTGTCATAAAGTTTTGTTCTTCATTCTATCATTCCTATTTTTTTTTCTCTTTTTTCGGTGTGTCATTGTGTGATCTGATCAAACTCAAAATTATGTATCTACTTATCGTATTTTTACTCATGCTCTGTAATTTTATAGCAGGTTGTTACTACCAATCTTTGAAGAATATTTTTCTAATAATATAAGTTGCTTAAAAATAAAATAAAAAATTCTTAACATAAGTAAAAAAAAAAAAAGTTAAATAAATGACATTAGGCATTCCATATTAATTGTGGCATCGCCTAATAATTTTTTCTTTTTCTTTTATGGTAGATAGAGTAGAACCAAAACCTTGTTTGGAATAATAAAGTAAAAGAGAATAAATAATTGAGGAATATGATCTGTAAAATACCAAACTTATGTCAATAATATCAAAAGTATATGATACTATTCTTAGAATCAATTTATCAGTCAGTTTTTTTAAAATTTTGGAGTCTTCGAACTTTGTAAAGTTGATTTAATGGTTAAGATAAATCATCACTCGATGCAGGATTTAAAGTTTATAAATTTTTATAATGAACTCAAATAAATATAAAGTAGTAAATAGAGTCATAATTACATATTTATAAATATTACACATTAGATTTGTTATTGCCTCAACTAATCTAAATTGCACACATGATAAACCACCTACTAAGGAGTAAATCATTCTCATGTTTTCAAAACTCGGACTCGATGTATTTAATTAGAAATGAAGAATTCACAATCATCCCATTATATTTATTAGTGGTCTTATCATACAAATTATTTATTTAAATTTGCATTATTTCCTTTTGATGAAAATACCTTTTTGCTCTTTCTTAAATGAGTAATACCTTATTGGTTTTGTAAATAATTATTTTAGACTAAATTAAGTTATGTATTTTATGACATAATTTGTAGGTTTTGAAACTAAAATGTTCTCTATCAGCAAAAGTTCTACAGGATTTAAGTTATATTATGTCCTTTACTACATAATTTGTGGATTCCCAACTGAACTTCTACTCTATCGACATAAGTTTTATAGGACCTAAGCGGCATAACTCGTGCTATATTATGATGCAAAACTATAAACTTATGTTGAACGAAAATTCTTTGTTATCACGACGTCATGAACATTTTCAACCACTTATTTTTACGACAATAAAAATTAAAGACCACCCAAAAATAAGAACATGTGCAAATGACCCAAAAATAATCAAAATAGCCCAAATCCCTTCTTATTGGGCTTTTTTTTTTTTAACCATTTGGGCCTCAAAAGATATTTTTAGTTGTTCCATTTCCATACGTTTCTTCTTCTTCTTCTATCAGTCAAATTCAAGAAAAGTTGAATTTTTTGAAGAGAAATTAGCTAAAAATGGAGTCATTATTCATCAAAAATTTGATCTTTGCAACTCAAATTGCTGTCCCAAAGAGTAATTCAATAAACCCAATTCGTACAAGAAGGATTTGCAGCTCTTCTTGGAAAATTCACTTCAAAAAATCAGACTTTCAAGGTACCCTTTTTGTCTGTGTCACACTTTTTTTTTTAGTCCGTCTAAAATTACTCTTTTTATTATTAATAAAATGATTTATAGCTATACATATAGTCTCCAAGTGTTTTAGACCATAAATTTCAAAAGTTTTTCTTTATTGCTACAACAGTTAGTTATGACAATTTGTGTCATACGTGTTGTCCTACATGTATTATGTCATGTAGGATTCGTGTGTTTACTTGTTCAACTTTATACAATTTTAAGTGTCGTGCAAAAATGTGAAATAAATCGAAGTTAAAGGGCACATTTATGTATTATGTTTTCTTTTTTTTGGCAACCTTGTTGTTATAACTGTTAGTCTAGTAGTTATATACATGTTGGATACTTCAAAAATGTATTTTTGGAGGATTCGACACACCTAGAGGGATTTTTGATGAGTCCGAGCAACATAAATGGTTAGAAGCAATTTATATTTGTTTTAATGTGAGATTATGAGCTAACTTTGAATGAGTTGATTGATTTACTGCTAAGCTTTTGCCTATTTGCTTCAGTGTGTTATCAAGGCTATAATGCATATTTTTCCTTGTGATACTAAATAATTGATATTCCATTTTATAGTAATTTTTTTAAAAATTTCTTTGTCCGTGTATTCGTTATTCATGCTTAAAATTATGAATCTTGGACAATACATACATTTTTTGTAATTTGTTTCTCGATTTTGCGTTTCTTCATTAGAGGCCACAGTTGATTTGCAATTTGCGCTTAAAGCCCCAATAAACCTTTGAGTTTATTTACGTTTTTCGCCTTTGATAACACTGTTGTGTTATTTTGTTTCTTGATATTAGGACACTTTAACATGGTGAGAAAAAAGTATGTGAACTTTTATTGAAGTTTTGACATGTATAGAAGAGGTTTATGTAGTGCCGAAAAACCTATCTGATGGGCACTAGGAGCTTTTTCCGAATCCCCTTCACTAGGAAATTATATCGTATATACAAGGTTAAGTTTTATATACATTCATACAATGCATATAAATAGTAGGTGTTGAATCTCCTTCGCTTCTTCGTGTGTTTACTTCTTTATATTTTGAATCCTCTCAGTGAAAATTGTAGCTCTGACATGGGATACAGGCTAACATGGTTGAGCCATGCTGTAATTTTTGCTTAAAGTATGCTTATTACCGGAGTTTAAGTAATGCGTTTTCCATTTCTTATCGCATAAAGAGGGAGAAGTTCTTTATTTTCCGTTGAGCGCCTATTGATTGGTAAATGAATTTGCTTTAAACTTAAGTTATATGCTCTGCATGATTTGAAGGAACGGAGAGAAGTGTTGGATGACTTCTTTGTCGGGACTTAACTTAATAAATTTTTCACATTTTTGTTTTTCGAACACCTTATATTTTCCTCCCCCATATACAACCTACTTGGTGCAGACCTGGTGTTTCATTCACTCGTTTTAGCTTCCGTTATTGTTTCATCTTCTCACTTTAATGATTAATCATGCTAACTGATTTTTCAGATTTTCGGGACTATGTAAAACCTTCCCGCCTTTTACCAGCCACTAACGTGAAATTCTGTGGAGAATGGTCGCTGGAAGCATTGCTCAATCATTCGAAATTGGATAGATCCAATT